ATCATTCTCAGAAACTTCTTTGCCCGGAACCGGGGCTCAGATTTGCCCCAGAGCCCTTTGTGCCCTCCGAAGGGAGCGTTGCGACGCCATTCAGAAGCCGAACCCGGAACGAGAGCAGGAGGAACCAGACTCCGACTCCTAACCCACAGCTTCGATCTTCATTCCCTCAAGAGCGGAGATGACAGGGGCCTTAAAAGCTAGGGCGGGTTTTGGGGGGGTCCGTTATTGTATAATGCTTATTAAGCAACCCTTAAGAAATACTGCTGGTCTTGGTAATTATTTCGGCCAACCCTAAACCCAAAACAATAAACCCTAAACCCTAATCTGAATCTTCATGGTGGAACAGTGACTTATCTTGGCTTCATCGATTGCAAATGCAGGGCCGGTGAACTATGTTTTGTCGAGGATGTTGTTTCTATCACATGTTCCAAGCTAGACCTACTACATACGTCAACTTGGAGGTTCCTCAAGGACAGCCAGCGTTGCTTCGGCTGGTCAGAGCGCCATCTAGTGCGTCTGTATATGTAATTCTAGCGATCCCTACCATCACTACAATACTGCTGAAACAACAATCGTGCAAGTCTTGCATTGCGGATGACTCAGTTACTACCAGCATCATGTTTTCATGTTGGATAGTCGAACACCACCGCCGCGAGCGTGACTATCGCTAGCCTTTTCAGATTCTAGAATACAGCCATGTGAAACCGTACAACCTGTCATGTTATAGACAAGTACATCAATAAGCCAACGTATCGGACGGATCTTGTGGTTGCTTGGCTCCAACAGCCCAAGTCCCCAAACCCGCCCCTGCCCACAAGCATTACAACTCTACAGCTCCAAATCGTTCGATTTGGGGCTGTACTGGAGAGTTGCTCCACTGCCTTTCAACCCCATGAAACAATGAACCTTCATGCCTCCAGCCCGACAGTCCGACGGCCAAGCGCCGAAGTCTACCAAAAGTACTGATTCCTCGGCCCCGATTCCCCAAAATCTCGAAGGGCTGAAAACCTGAAGCCTTAACACGGAATGCAACTTTGAGTCCTCAGATCCAAACCCATGACAGGCCTTCGCCCGCTGGCAGCTGGGGCTTCTGCTTGGCTTGCACAGAGGCCTCCACAGGGTTTTAGGGTTTTAGGGCTTAGGGTTTTAGGGTTTAGGGTTTAGGGTTTTAGGGTTTAGGGTTTAGGGTTTTAGGGTTTAGGGATGATCATGACCATGAACATGAATGCCGTCACTGCTGCCGTTCTTACCATCATCCTCACCCCCTGTTACAATCATCGTGTGGCGAAGAGGTCTGCATCAAAAGCTCCGTCCAATAACATCAACGGAAAGACTCAACCTTTGATATCTACCGTATACTAAAACGCATGAAGTGCCCTGATCATGAACGTTATTATCATGACCATCAGCATGATGATCACTACCGTCAGCATGGTGATGATGTTCGTCATGATATCATGATGATCATGGTGGTGATGGTGATGGTCATGGTGGCGATGACGAAGATGACGATGATGATGACTTTAATACTCCCGGGGGTCCTGACCATGATGGCGGTGATGACCATAACGACGGTCAAGACGATCAGCATGACGCTGTTCATGGCTATGTTCACGATGATGGTGATGATGATCATGACGGTCATGACCATGGTGGCCATGATGATGATGATCCTGATGTGGTGGTCATGACCAATGACGATGATGACCGTTTTGCGACATCCAAGGTCAGCGTCATCAATACTGATGTGTCAGCGGCGCCGTGTAAACAAACGATTGTGTAAGTGTGCCCAAGTGCTTGCTTTGGTGATAAGAAGAGTGCAAAGCGTAAACTCCAAATGCCCTTGCAGCGATTGTGTGTTTGCTGCCGGGCTTGGGTCTCAAAGGACTCAGAGGCTTAAAACACCCGAATCCCAGAAGCATCGCTGCGACCCAAGTCACGTCCAACGCGACAAAATCACCCGCTGGGGTCCTGACGCGGTGAAGCAGGTAAGTTGCGCTCCCGATGTGATTGTAAGCACGAAGACTGCGATCAGGTTGTGTCATTGTTTTTGACCGTGGCAGTATCGGAAGCTTGAACCCTCGATTTCCTGGCTAAGCGAACAACAGCCCTAGCCTCTTCCACAAAAACCTGCACCAGTCCCACAGGATCGAAGCTGTAGTTTTGGGTTCACAGTTTCAGGGCTCAGGATTTGGGGTTCAGGGTTGAATCTGCAGCAGCCCCTTCTGCAGGCTCCTTGGGTCGGGATGCTTCGGAATGATATTACTTCACACTCCCGGTACAACTGTAGCGTAGTATGTGAAAAAGTGTTGAACTTACTTTGCGGAGGATGCTATTGAGACCCTGTAGAACAATTGTAGAAACCCCTTACGCAACCCTATTCCAAATACTAAGGCCCTTCTACTCTAGTGACTCTGGACTCCCTGGAAGCAAGCCCCTCTAACATCCTGATCATGCCCGGAAAAAAAAACGCCATTCTCATCATTAAGGCCTACTATCAAAACACCAGAACATAAAATCTTTGTTCGAGAATCCCAAGTGAGACCTTGACAAGGAACCCAATTCAAATTATTCAGGCCCGATAAAAGGTGGCCTGGTATCCACGGTTGGCGGGCCAACACGGGAGGCTGCGAAAAAGATCCCGCTGCAAAGTAGTAAGCCTGTCGCTCGGAGCTCAGGGTTTGGGGTCTCAGGTTTGGGTTTTCGGGTTTAGGGGGGGGTTTGGGGCTGAGGCCAGAGGCTTACTTACGGTTTGAAGCTTAGGGGTTTTGGCTCTCATAAAGACTTGAGGGTTTTAATGTAGGCCTTGGAACTACGAGGTGCAAGGGTTCGCCGGGTGTCAGCACCTGCGGCTTGGGATAAGAGGGACGAAAAAGGTTGTATCGGCTGCTGCAATCTAGACAAAACTCACAAACTTCAGGGTTCTTGAGCAAGGTCAGAGCCTAATAGGATGTAAATTGCACCGGGTCAAAAAAAAAAGACGGCCTGTCGAAGCTTTCTACATTGGGTTTGCGTAGGCTGCGCCGTGCGGAGTAGGCACTGCTCCGACTCAGGGGTCAAAACCTCGCGGTGTCAGTCGGAAGTGCCCGCTAACAAACACATGGGGGTGTCGCGTCAGAGTACAGAAGTAAGAAAGCAGTTTAGAATCCTTCCGAATTCTCATACGGCAAAAACATAGGCAAATCCAAAATGTGCCTCAGTCGAGTATCGAACCCAGAATGCCAGCAGGGTAAAGTCTGGATCCGATACGCTCAACCGCGTGCTGGGAGTACGGAGTCCGAGCAAGGGGGAGTGCAAACAGCTTCGAGAGCCTGGGGGGTACGACAAAAAACATAACTACATGGAGGTTGATGAGCAGATAAACCAGATAGTCTTATGAAACAAGTCTTCCCCTCCTAACCTGGTGTGATGATACTTCAGGCCAGGATCTGCTCCCGATGCTTTAACTCAGCAGAGCCCTAAGAGGCTCCAATAAACGACTCGCCGATTCAGGCGACAGAACTTGACGAGCATGTCTGAGCAAAAGAAAATTCCCGAAACTCTAAGACTCTAAGCCCTAATTAAATCATGAAAGGCCAATTCCGTCGAAGTTAAACCCTGGATCTGAAATCTTACATCACATGCACGACGCCTAAAGCCGCTGCGGTTGGCCAAATTCGGCGTGGCGTTTCTGGCTCGCCAAATCGTTCCTGATCGTTTCTTCTTGGGGCTCTGCATCTCTGGGTCCAGAGGACAGCTTCCAGGATTTGACTTGACTTGGTGCTCAAGTGCCTCTGATCTCTGCCTGCGTTTCTCTCCCTCTCTCTCGCTCTCTCTCTCTCTCTCTCTCTCTCTCTCTCTCTGTCGCCGTCTCCGGATCTCCTTCTTTTGCTTCGATCCTTTTACCCCAACGATCAACAACGCGTTCGCTCAACCGAGCTGAACATGAATGCCTGAACCTATGTCCGGGGATTCGCAGTTGCAAGTCGCAAGACCCGAAGTCTGTGCTCCAGAGCGGCATATCGAACAGCTTCTGAGCCATCCGTGCTTGCCGCATGCAACGCAGAAACCGACATGGCGCTGATGTTCGTACCCTTGGAGCCCCTGAAGCTATGGAGGCCAAGACCTAGTAAAACTCATGAAGACATGATGAGCTCCACTCTCGAATAATCCGAAACTCTTGAATCTAGTGTCTACACTGTCACCCCCGTGAAGGCCATGGATTCACTTCAAGGCCCTAGACTACGATGTCATGGTTCCAGAACACAGAACTACCTCCTGCATGCTTGTACGTCAGGGAGAGCGCTCCAGAACCCGATCCCCCAAACTTCCGGAAATCAGATCTAATAGCAGCCGCTGACCCACATTTTACACCACCCTGACATCAACAATTCCTGAACACACTGCATCTCACACATTCCACACCATAATCCTCAATACAATCCCGAATCCGAACCACCCACCGAAGTCACGTACTAACTCATAAGAGAATCCACCAGGCCACGCCTGCAATCCCTAACCAAATCACTTCCCCTATGACGACTGGGGCCTGTTGTCTGGCAAAATGGGGGAATACCCCGAAAACGAAGCGATGACCAATGAGAAGATCAATCGAAACAGGATCTTCGATAAAAGCTCGGCAAGCCTCCCAACGAATGGACGACAAGCCAAACTTGACGCTCGACTGGTTTGGGATTGAATATCATGTAGAGGGTTGAAGGGTGTTAGTTGGGATCTTACGGATTAGGGTTTAGGGGTTGAGTCGGGCTTGGGGGTATCAAAAGCTCTGCCGTTTTTGCACTCGAAGTGCCCGGCGCCGCATCCTCGACCTGTTCGATTGCCGACTGATGCGGCCCAGAGACCATGACACACGATCTCAGGAAGCAAAACCGGTGATGTCTGCATCGCGTAAAGGAGGGTCGAAGACATGGTTGAGCTTCATGGTTGGTTTATTCACATCGAGTTCTGCCTCCGATTCATCATAAACGTCGCAATCGCAGACTGCCTGGCACCTGGGACTCTTACTTAAACAGGGCCCTCGTCAACATCTGAGTCATTTGCGCCTTCCTTGTAGCCTCTGCCAACCTGCCAATTCCCTTGGCCTTCTGATCCAGCAGGTCAGACAAGCCCTTCGAGAGACCCGGCAACCGACGGTGCTGCTGCAGGTCTGCCGCCAAGGCAATCAAAGACATATGATCGCCCGTCTTCTGCAGCATGTCGCTGTCTATGGAGACTTCAATCAGCTTTTGCGATGTTGCGTCGCACTTGTCAGCATCCGTTGCACTTCGCACTGCCTCCCTCCAGCTCTCGGGCGAGGCCCTACCCACCGCAGCCATCACGGATACGACGCAGAGGAAGCGAAAGCTGATGTGCTTACACATGTTTTGCAGATACTCGCGAAGCAGCGGCTGCAGAAACGAGGCAAGTTTGTGCAATCCTAAGATTCCCAGGACATATATTGCAGCTGATGCTGGAGAAGCTCCCACATGCTAGAGTATCGGGGGTAACTCTGGGCCTGCGAGGCATGATTCCATCAAAGTGCAGCCTTAAAGCTCCCCCACCACTGTTTCAGAAGTGAAACATTAACCAGCAGTCATGCAAATCTGCCATAGTGATCAATCCCCAACCTCCCCCGTCAACACATCAAGAACAGCTACGATCATATCAAAGATCGAGACTCGAGGAGACAGTCTTTTGCGTGGCGCACACTTGTGGTCCACCCGCGTCCGGGTTCATGATAAACATCATGCTAGACATCCGTAAACTGCACTCTTGCGCCCGTATCTCCGGGGCTTTCGGATCCCCATCCGGATCTCCCGGTGCTTCTGGTCCTCTTTGTAAGGGGGGTTTCAGGGTTTGGGGCTTGGGCTTAGAGGGTTTAGCGGGTTCAGGGGATTCAGGGTTTAGGGTATCGGGTTTTAGGGCCTTTGGGTTTGGGGGCGTTCAGGGTCTTGGCTCTATGATTCGATTCAGGTTTTTGGGCTCAGAAGATGTCAGTTTAGCAGACAGGGCTTCTCGTGGGCAAGGACGGCTTCCAGGTTTGGGGTGCGCGGGCTCTGGGCTCGAGGCTGGGGGTGGGGAGCTCTTATGACACTTCTTGAGTATACTCGCGAAAGTCACAATAAGAAGAACATTAATTAACAATGACAAATCAAGAATAACAAAAGATATCAACAACTAGACAATGACCATACTTACTAACATTATTGCAGCAACAAGAACAGCATTTGCAATCAGATGCTGCGGATTCGAAAGATGTCCTGCGCGACGAACTCCAAGTTCAGGTGGCTGCCCTGGCGATAGTTTTCCGCCACCTGCAAGCAGAACATCAAAAAGCACAGCAGGCCTGTCTCAAAGCCCGACCAGGGAACCCAAACCTTCGTGAAAGTCATGAAATACGAGGTTGATTCCAAGGAAAGAAACAAGGTGAGAGACAAACCCCAAACCCTAAGCCCTAGAACGAGCCGGCGATTCGTAAGATCGCAAAATAACCCGCGACGAGCTTTACTACGAGTTGCCCAAATGTTTCAGCTAGTCTATCTAGGAGGCATAGGCCTACAACCCACCCTCAGAATTCTCCGTTTTCGATATCAGCCCAAAACCTTCGAGATCAAGCATCTGAAACCGGAGGAGTTCCAGCAACCGCTGTTTTGGACAAACTCGTGATGAGCGTGTGTCGGCCGGTGGGATTGGTTCCGAAGCAAGTCCCCCCAGAGCCTCATAGGGAGGCGCGAAGGTTTAGGGTTTCGGGTTTAGGGTGCTATTCTAGCTGCCTTAAAATGGAACTGCTCCTCGAGAAACCATCATAATGCCCACGCTATCAGCCTCAAATCCTGCTCTCCTTAACTCGTCAATCACCAGTTTAACGATGAGAACCCAACTCCGTGAAGAGCAAACCGCCTCTCCCCCCACCACCCGAGACCTCGATACTTCTGACCCGTAGAGAAGCCCACCTCTATCTTCCACTTAACACCAGTTGCCATCCGCAGCTCGGCTTGAAGCCATGCCGAAGGGGGGCACCTAGGGGTGCTTCGGGTGAGAGCTTTTGGTGAGATGGAGCTGATGCTGATTTGAGGATTCAGGGTGTATGATTGAGGGTGGTAGAGGCGTCTGACTGCCGAAACCAGGCGCCCATCTCTTGGCCAACTCATGCGCTGCCCGCATGGTCTGCGACTCTTGCACGTAGTGGAAGCTGATGGGGCACTCCTGGGAACGTCGAGACGTTAGTTGCTTGCAGCTCTTTGAGAAGGACAGTTCTGCACTACCTCCGAAGAGTTAAGCTTTTCGCACGCTGATCGCTTGACGCAAACTCGCAGATGCCCGAAAACCTTCATCTGACAGGCTCTTTAGGTACTCACCAGTGATGCGATAAGTCTATAAGAGCTACTATGTGGGTTACTATACGTTTGTGAGATTTTCTATATGGCCTGCTATAAGTTTATGAGGGCTACTATAAGGGTTACTACAAGTTTAGAAGAGCTACTATACCGGGGGGGGGGGGGGGGTACTATATGGATTCCAGGTTCCTGAGTGGCTCCTTAACAATAAGGGTACCTTTTTCAATGGAACCCAAGAAGGCAAGAAGGAAAAGGAAACAAAAAGGGTACTACTCAGGAACCGAGGATTACTATAAGGGGTACACATGGGGCATGCTATATGGATTACTACCGCTGATGATACAAATCCTGCATTACCCTAAATATTAGGTGCCGTATTATAATAGGGACCCAAAAAGGGACCATAATTTTGACAACCACCCATATCATCAACCGTACAAGCGGCTACAAGGGGTACATTCTCAGCTCAAGAAGCTTCCAGGTCCATAGGACAATGGGCCCAAGAGACTGCACTATCCCAAAGGGTCGTATGTACCTGTATAGTAGAATGTAGGGTTTCTATATTAGGAATTACTATTAGGATCCAGGAAATTAGTATGGTTGATGATAGATATATCCCGCTTTACCCATGATAAGGAAGATACCATAACTCCCATAGTCTAGGGTCAGTAAGGTAATACAGGGTGTATATCATCAACCGTAGGATGAGGGTTTCGGTTTTGGGGGGGTCGTAGGGCTGCGGGTGTTTTGCTGGGGGGTCAGGTTTTGAGGATTCGCGATGGTCGGGGTTTTAGGCTGCCTTTTCAGTCTTGCTTCAAACTCCTGCCTGCTCATATTTACGCATGCCTTCTCGTCATACTGTTGATGGACAAAATCCTGCATGACCCTAAGGACTCTACAAAAACCCTAAACCCTAGACCCTAAACCCTTCATCTTTGCGCACCCTCAGTTTCAAAGCTTACGCCGAGTCCTCCAGCGTGCCACTGGGAGTATGGAAGAAGCCTTCCAAAGCCTGAAGATCACTCCGATCTGGGGTGATTAGGGGTTTCATGGTGCTGTATGAAGGCCTAAGGTTTTGGGTAGCAGGCATATCAGAAGGCTTTCCGTAAAGGGTTCGTGGAGTCCTGGAAACTTCGGATGCTTCAGGGTTTGGGGTTTAGGGGTTAGAGTTCAGGGATTTAGGGTTTAGGGGAACACGAATCAACAGAAATCCGTAAAACCACACCGAAGAACATCGATCTCGGACCAAGAGAAACAAGCCGGAGCCTTGACTCAAGACGACGGGAGCCTCAACAAATCAGAAAAGTCATAGTCTTCATCATGCCTGATGGCTCCAAAAAAAAGCTACCCTATATAACCCCTAAACCCTGAACCCTAAACTCTTAACCCTAAACCCTAAACACCCCTAACCCCGAAACCCTAAACCCTGAAATCTAACCTCTAAATTCCCGGCCCGTAACCCTAAATCCTAAACCCTTAACCCTAAACCCTAAATACCCCTAACCCTACATCCTAAACCTCATCCCTCTGAGCCTCAAACCGTGCCCCCTGTACTCCAAGGCCCTATATATACAGAGCTGCCACTGCGATCCAGGTTTGTTGGAGCTTTGGGGCTCTTAGCGCGCTGGAGTTCGGGAAGCTGCCTCCGACAAGATGATGATGATGATCATCATCATCAGATTCATCAGATTCATGATAATGCTACTCATCTTGAATCTCTAAGACAAGTAATAACAATGATAATGCTCCGAACAAGATATTCAGCATCATACCCATAGAAATAGCAGGTACGTTGTCAGGCAGGCTGCTGTCAAGTTCCACTTCGGGTTTCCGACCCTCCAGGGGTGGAGGCCGTGCATCTTGAAGACTTTGGTGCCATTCTGCTCAGCCAAACACTCCTGGTGTGCAAGTTAGTTAGGGTTAATTATAGGGTCTAGAAATTTGGGATTTCCAGGACTTTTGCACGTAGTAGTTTCCATGATTGCAAGTTGTGCTGGTGACAATGCTCGTCAGGGCGCCCTACAAATCCTCCAAGCCCGGTCTGCAGAATCGGCCGCTTACACATGCCGCCATACTGAACACTTCCTCCCTGGTTCTTGGTACGGAATTTGGGGGATGGTCCTTTATAGTAATCCCTATGACCCTCCCTTCGAAGCACTATGGAGTTTACTTCATTCGAAGCATGCAAACAAGGGACACACACATAATCTGCTTTCTGGGTAGACATGTAGTAGCATTAACCGCTGTGGCAAGATACAACACAAATACGATGAATCGAAGCTGTAGCCGTCGTCGTGAGCAATAACCGGAGCAGCTGCCGATCCTAGCATGAAGCTTTCATGGCTTGCTTGACCATGCATCCTAAACCCTACACCCCCCAAATGAGCGCCGCAACCAAACAAAAAAAGCCAAGCCATGAGAAGTGTAATATATGGACCTGAAGAATTAGAATAAGTGCTGGGGTAGATTATATTATCTGTATTTTCAGGAACGCTCAGACTACTACAGTTGGGCTCGCCGCAGTGCTAACATCGTCTTGCATGGCCACATCCCCAGAAGGAAGGAAGACATAAAAGAAGCTGATGCTGCCGGGAAGATACTGTAGTTGCCCTTCTTTAATTGAACCACTGCTGCGGCCGTAAGCCCAAAGTGCAGAAAACTCCTGAAGGATCTCAGCTCATAAAATCACGCAGCCCCTCAGGCAAGGCCAGGGTGCTGTGGTGACGTCGCAGTAGCGCGTTCTCTGACAGTCGTTCATGTACCTGGGCTTTAAGTAACCAGGGAGAACAAGTACAGACCTTTATTTGATAATGGCTCCCTTTAAGGAACAGGTCCCAGAAAAAGTATTAAAATATGGTACTCCAAAGCCCAGTGTACCTATGCATGAACTTCTCCGTGTCGTCGCCAAGCAGCACCTGGACAGCCTCGTGCTGCGGCAGGGCGCTCGATCCCAACGCCAGGAACGCACTACTACTCACACATCCCAACCTCTAGCCCTCTCAAGACCATTCAACTTGGCCCCGCCCAAACACTGTCTGCGATGGTTTGGGGGGCGGGGTGTTAGAGTATGTTCTACACTGAAACTCTGCATGTGTTGCGAAACTCGAACCCTGCGCGAAACGGAGGGATGCCTTGTCCTAACACCTGCTGGGCTTTTGGACCCGGCTAAGACCGCCAGTTTGTGGTAAGAAAGGAGCCGAGGCACGCTCAAGAAACGAGGTCTCAATGAACTTCGTCTGTCTTGACGCCAGAACTTAAAAAAGTAAACGCCGAAGTAAGTCCCGCAAGAAAACTCAATCAGTTGAACCACTGATCATGCCGACACCACCCCTCATCCTGAGAAAGACAAGACAGCAAGCTAGACAGCCTTCGCACTCAAGGCGTAGCCACCACCACCGCAAAAGCCACACGGACGGCCCTTCGTCACACAGCCTGGATCTTTGGTTCCACAGCTCATCTGGGCTGAGCATTCATAGATCTTGCTCCTCTCCGGCTATGACCAAGACTACGCCAACAACTACGACTACGACGACGATTACGATCTCCGACTAGTACCATTCTTGTTGCTACTCCTCTATCTGCTTTGCTGCTACTGCTGCTACCACCACTACGTTGACGATAACTACTGCTCTTGCAACGTTCGGATTTTCAATGACATGTAGCCTCATAATCCTGCGATCCCTACCACCGTACCATCGGATGCATGCGTGACCTGCTCTGAAGCATAGCCTCCTAAAGATACCTCTTATCCTAGAATCGTCCTAAACTTCAAAAACCCACACACGCCATCCCCCAAATCCCTCAATCAACAACTCAAGACTCCCAAGCCCATCAACCTTTAAAGGCCGAGCCCCAAAAACCCTAAAATCCGTACAGACAGTGATACCCCAAAGCCTCCGACTCCACGAGCCGACGAAGCCTAAAACCCAAGGGTAGGAGGAGGGACCCTTAATAAGGACCCCTAGGTATATACCCTTAATATAGCTATTATATACCCATTATATAGCCCATTATGGGGTAGGGGTCCCCATTAAGGGTCCCTCCTTTTCACCTTTGATAAAACCCAGGCCCGAAAAGCTCAAGACCCAAAGAAAGGCCCTACGCATCCCCAAGCCTCAAACCCTAAGGGTCCAAGTGCTCAATTATCATATACTCTCCAAAATCTACATAACTACCATCCCGAACCCAAGTACTTAATTATTGGGTCCTTTGGACCCTTTAGGGAAAGGGACCTGTGATGCCATATCCCAAAGCCGCTGTCTGCAGCTCCGATCGGGGATGAAGGCGGGCGAGCACGCGCCTGGACTGTCTGTGATTTATGAACGGCTTGGGGGGTTTAGGGTTTTGCATGTCGGGTTGAGGTGATAGGGTTTAGGGTTTAGGGTTCCGGGTTCAGGGCCTGGGCTTCAGGGGTCAGGGCTTGGGAAGTCTTGAGCTTAGTCTGGAGATCTGAACCAATTCGAACAGCTTGAAGGCCTACTTGGGCAGGGGACTTGGTAGGTATGGTTATAAGTAGAGCTATAAGTACCCTAGATGGAGCTATCCCCAATTATAACCCTACGTATAACCCTACTTACTAAGTCCCCTGCCCCTCCAAGTAGGATTATCCGATTGAAGGGCTCCTAGTCCTGGCTTGTAACACGTTCTACGTGTTCGCTCAACTTTAAGGGGTTTGAAATGGGCGGGGGTTCTTGATGAAGCTCCCGGTGTAGAAGTTTAAGTGTTCGAGATAGCTGTAAAACTGAAGACTCCAGGTGGGTTAAGAAGGGTTCGAGATAGCTGTAAAATTGAGGACTCCAGGCAATTACTGTAAGAAGGGTTCAGGTGGGGTTTACTGAGAATGGCCTAGGTCTTCAAGCCGGCGACCTTTCGTAGTTCAGTCTGAGGGTCTATTGCTAGAGGAGTTTAGGGTGCAGGGCTGCCGTTTGGATCTCAGGGGTTCTCTGCACAAGAAGTGTCTGTTTCGGGTTTACGGGTTTAGGGGTTAGGGTTCAGGGTGTAGGGGTTCTTTACTTTAGACTTTGTTAGCTTGGTTTTGCGATCCAAGGTCCCGGTCCAAGATTTGGTAAGGGATTCAACCCTACACCCTAAGCCTCTAAACCCCAAACTCTGAACCATGTCCCTAAGCCCTAAACCTTTAAACCCTAAACTCTGAACTAAAAGCCCCAAACCCTAAACCCCACACCCTAAACCTACCCTAAACAAGATGCATGTGAATTGCATGTCGGCGAGTATTGTCTCGGAGATCCCGGGAAAGAGACCTACTTTAGGTACGGCCTCCACGCAGTAGTAGTTGAATAATATTCATAATATAGATATATTAGGACCTCAATAGTAGCCCTATTAATTAGAGACTCTTACTGTATGGGGGCCGTACCCAAGACCTACTCGCTCCTTCTTTGAAAAAACCGAAGTCCACAGACTTCCAAGGCCCCAAGCCTCTCCACCGAAGCCTGAGACCCCCTCTGATAGCCGAGGGCTCCCAAAACGAATAGGAACGGGTTAGGGTTGAGGGCTTAGGGCTAGACGTACCCCCAGACCATTCCAAGCTCAATAACCTAACCCTAAATCCCAAACCCTGAACCCAAAGAAACTGCACTACATGAAACGCCCGCGGCGCTGGCCTTAAGTTGTCGACCACCACGTAAACGTCATCATCCACAATGAAGACCCAGTCGAAAGTACGGTTCCTGGAGATGCTCACTTATGTCGGATGCCGGAAAGGTACTGTCATGTCTAGAATAGGGGCCTTTATAATTAGAAAGAGGGTTTTGGGTCATATTATACTATATTTATAATCAGGAGCCCCCAAAATCGTATCATGCACTTGTTCAGGCCCCTCTATTAGTTTGCTTTCTGTGTATTCTTTGCAAGGGGCCTAGGGTTTATGAAAAGCTGTCGAACTTGAAGGAACCCGTACAGCGACACTGTAACCCGGAAAGGAACCTTCTAGAAAACGACCAAACGGAGCCCAGACTCTGCATCTGGATGAGTGCGTTGGCCTCGACACAGCAGACCTTCCAAAGACGCGGTGCTGAAGCGCCCTAGTGAGTAGTGCTTGCCGCAGCAGTCGCAGCAGCAGCAGCGGCGGCGTCAGCAGGAGCAGGAGCAGAGTAGCAGAGTAGCAGTGGTAATCGTAGTAGCACTCGTAGCAGCAGCAGCAGGGAAGTAGTAAGGGTACGAGAAGGAGTAGTGTTATCTGGTTCCTCAAGAAGCCTTGAATGCCAAAGTTTTGGCGTGGAGGAGCTAAAGCCTACAGTAAACCGACGGAATGGGCTGCTGTCCCAGATGCACCCATATCGTGGTTGTCCGGGCAACGGAACTCCTCAGATAGAGCCCCCAAGCTCTCAGCTCGTGGACCAAAATGGGTGACTGTCAAAAATAGGCTCCCTTTTTGGGTCTTCAATATAGCACGGCACCTATTATTTTGGGTACCCAAAAAGGGACCTTAATTTCGGCAACCACCCAAGTATGGCTTAGGGTCGAAGTGTAGGGTTTAAGGGTTCCGGGTTTAGGGGAAAGTAAGTTTACGACTTACCCTAAATCCTGAATGCCTGGGCCCGGGGCTGGGATGGATTTAGCGAGTCAGGGTACTATTTAAGGACTTGTATTAGGGTCCCTTAATTTCGGAAACTCCCATAATAGAGTTTATAATCTCTACACTTCGAAACGTAGCCAGGGCTCATGAACGGACTCCATGTCCCTCTTGGCGAGCTCTTTGTCTGCTACAAGAGTGAAGGACGTCACGAAGAGGTCCTGCTTAGACTTACGTGTCTGGGGTGGAGCGGAGTGCCGTAAGATTTCCAAGGTGCAACAGCCCTTCGAGCAAGGTCGCAAGCCCATTGCCAATGTGCCGGGAGCGCTGCCGTCTAAGCTTTACACATCCCTAAACCCAAGAATCCGAAACAACCCTAAACCTAAAACCCGAAACATCTCTAAACCCTGTACTCTAAACATCCCTAAACCCTGAACCCCAAGCGTCTCTAAAGCCTAAGTCAGACATCTCAGAGAACGCAAATGACATCCCGACTCTGCGAGGGTGTCCTCCCTGGGGATGTCGTTCATCCAGGTATCCAACTGGCCCTGTAAGCGCGTCCCGTACTTCCGGGGCTGCGCGCGTGTGATGTAGATGATTCGAAGATCCTGTCTTTCAGAGTGTTGTGTAATATTTGAGCCTTGAGGCTAAGATTAGGGCTTTACGGGTAGGTGCCGGCACATCTTCAACTAAGGCTCTAAGAAGAATCTTAGCAATTGTTCAGGATTCTACATGATTCGTTTCTAAAAACCGCTTGAAATGCTTCCGATCTCTCACGGTGTCCGCCGAGCAAAGCCTGAAACCCCAAACCCCAAACCTACCAACCCTAAGCCCTAAACCCCGAACCTCGAACCCCTAAACCCTAAACCCGAACCCCCCTAAACCCCAGACCCCAAGGCGTCGCTCAGGCACCTGGAGGTCCGCTGCCAGCTGGCAGGTCCCCCTGTAGGCGCGGTAGAGGCTAAATGCCAGGGTCGCGGCAACCGAGAGCACGAGGCAGGTGAAGACGCCCATTCGTACCTTCTGCTGCTTTAGCTGTTCTTATGCGCCTTCTCCTTTTTTAGAAGAAGGGGCTGGGGCTTGGAGCCTAGGGTTCACCCATCCGTACCGTCTCTTCTTCTTAATGACGGGCTTGGGGTCTAATTGACGCTGCATGCCTCGCTCCAGTTCTCCCATCTCCCTAAACGAAAAGCCCTGAAGCGCTAAACATACTGCTGATGGACAAAATCTTGCATTACCTTAAGGACCCGAAACTCTGGGAACTATGGTATATTCCTTATAATGGGTAATGCAGGATTTTGTCCATCAACAGTGGGGTCAGGATGTCAGCAGCTTTTGAGGTGAAAACGAAGTGGCGAAGCCCCGGAAACAGTGAGCCCCTCAACCCTGAACTGGAACTCTACTGTTTGACTCCTGTAGCCCCTGCTGCCCCAAATGCCTCAACTCAACCCTGACCCCCTAATGCAGGGCCAAAATAATTACCAATACTATTGTGGGGCTCCTTATTGTAGTTATAGTATAATATGCCTCAAAACCCTTGTCTAATTATAACCGCTCCTAGAGTACATCGTCTTTGCGAGTCCCTGGCCTTGCACAGCCGAGACTGACATGTGCACAACCGGCCCGATGCAGCTTCTCGCGCCTCAGACTCCACCTCGAAAAACAGGGCCGCGACTTATCAGAATAGGGCTTTGAGGTACAGCATATTGTAGTATGGCTATGAGAACAAGGAGCAGTAAGGAAAGCCATTGGTTGGTATTCCTGAGGTTCCTTGTGAGAAGCATGCTGCAATGCTGCAGGTGGTTTCTGCTCGAAACCCTGAACCTTGAACCTTAAATCATAAACCCCAAGCCGCAGCCTTGGTTTAGGGTTTAGGGCCGTAGGATATGGGGGTGCTAGGTCTTTAGGGTGTAGGGCTTATTAGGGTTGGAAGGTTTGAAACCAAAAGCCTACCGCCTGGAAACCCTTTAAATACCAAGAGAAACATTGAGCAGTTCTCTAACTTTGGGTCCTTTGAGGATCCTTTTTACAAGGGTCCTGCCTTCTTTTGGCTCCAAAAACGGGACCCTACTTTAGAAACTGCCCATTCAGCCCAGGTCTCAGGGTCAGCTTCCACCTCATATCCCGAAGCCCCCGAAGACACGAAGTCCGAAGCCCTAAGCCACCGCCCCAGATCCGACCCAGGCCTAAGATCCTAAACTGAGGGCCCGAAAGAAAGTAAATCCCAAACGGCTTGGGGTTTAGGGACAACTTAGGGTTTAGGGTTTGGGGTTTGGGGTTTAGGGTTTTGGGGACCGATTCTCTTCGCTGCTTTTTGCCGGGTGCCTGGGTCTCGGTGACAGGAAGGTAGGGCTTTGCCCTCTGGTCCGCACAGGACGAAACAGTCGCGCTGAAAGCCCCCAAGCCTGGGTTGCTGAGAAGTTAGGGTTTAGGGTTTAACTTAAACGATCATGGGACTTAGTAACCAGGGTTTCTATTGGGGTAGCCATACTTGTCATTACTTATAACCCCAATTAAGGTACTTATAGCCATTTACTAAGTCCCATGATGCTCCAAGAAGGGTTTAAGGTATTTTCGGTCACCACGATACAGTAACCATATGTCAGAAACCATATTCAACTGCGACATGTCCCCTGCAAACTCCTTACCATAGTGTAGGGATAGGAACCATCATAGCTCCATCAATTCCTCTTTATGGGTGGTTGTCAAAATTATGGTCCCTTTTTGGGTACCTATTATAATACGGCACCGAATATTTATTGTACCCAAAAAGGGGCGCTAATTTTGACAACCACCCTCATGAAGATTACCTAGAGTGTTTTGGGGTTCCTTACATTAATTATAGCATAATTATCCCCCCACCACCCTTATGGGAACCTAAAGAAGAACTCATTAACATGATAGGGGAAGCATGCTATTGATTTCAAAATGTCACCCTTAAGCCGAAGCCCTAAATCCCAAATCTAAACCCTAAACCTTAAGTCCCGAAATCTACACCCTGAACCCCAAATCCCAAAATCTAAAACCTAAACCCCAAATCCCGAATAGCGGACCGGGAGCCGAAGGAAAGCAGGAGAAGCATCAAGGTCCTGCTAGGGTTTCGGGTTTAGGGTTTAGGATCTAGGGTTTAGGGTTTAGGGTCTAAGGTTTAGGGTTTAGGGTTTAGGCAAAGAGTCCTTAGGAGCCTTCAGGTTGGGAGCCTAGGTTTAGGTTTTAGGTTTAAGGTTTTTTTTAATGCAGTGGTTTAAGGTTTAAGGTTTAGGGTTCAGGGTTTAGGGCTCAGGGTTCGGGGCTTGGGGTTTAGAAGATAAATAAGGGGTCTACGGCTTCAAAAGATCCGCCCTCGACGTTTTGTAACGGAGCGTGTCGATGTACTGGCGGCACGTGGCGACACAGCACACAGAGGTCGAGACGTACTAACTAGCACAAGCACTATTACAAAGCATTCAATCACTCACTTCCGCTGGCTGCTTCTACTCCAGCTAATCCCACAGCTCGTATCACTCCGGCGATAATGGTTGCTACTGGGAGCCACCACCGTAGCCGCGTGCTACCGCAAGATCGCGAACTTACGTCAGGGTGTTGAGCCTGCTCATATGGGTGGTTGTCAAAATTATGGCCCTTTTTGGGTCTTTATTGTAATACGGCACCTAATATTAAGGTACCCAAAAAGGGGCCATTATTTTGACAACTACCCATGTGGGCAAATGTGCTTGCTTGGAGAGGAGATCGCTGCCGAAACACGAACAGATTCAGGGCCCCAGGATCTGCCATCCAATGCCGATCCCTGAGCTCTTCATTTAGGGGCCTTGATACTTGGGGGGGGGGGGGGGGGGGGGGATATTATGCTATAATTAATGTAAGGAACCCCAAAACAGTATAGGTAATATTACTGAGCTCTCAATGTAGAGCCCTTAATACTTGGGGGTATAATTATGCTATAATTAATGTAAGGAACCCCAAAACACTCTAGGTAATATTCATGAGGGTGGTTGTCAAAATTAGGATCCCTTTTCGGGTACCCTAAATATTAGGTGCCGCATTATACTAGGTACCCAAAAGGGACCCTAATTTTGACAACCACCCATGAGACAGCCCAGCTCACCAGAACCGCATCCTGTGGCCCTGCTTCCAAAGCTTCTGCACTCCAGCCAGCAGATGACCTAGTTTAGGATATAGGGTTCAGGGTTTAGGGTAGCATTAGAAATGATAGCTTCTATTCCTTCTTGGGTGTTAAGTGAGTGTTAAGTACGCTTAAAAATGCAAAATGTTACCCAACGATGACAAAGTGACAGTTGCCACCACCTGGAAAAGCTTCGCTGTTCCGATCTTCGGGCAGGTACAGTCATGAGCGATTGGTCCAACAGACAATGCAAGTAGTTACAACTGGGGTCCGGGAATTACCAGACAGAGGGATGGACGATGCTGGAAGTGGCCCTGCACTGAAATGAAACACGTCGGCGCGTGCGCCTCGCAACAAGCATGACAGAATGTCCCAGCATCCTTCATCTTCAGCCACAGCATCTGAACTGATATAGTCCACCCTAAACCTGAAACCCCGATCCTTATAGGAAGTAAAACGATCAGCAGACTTCCACCTCTACCGAAGCCTATGGGCCAAGGCTGAGATCTCTCCGTTTGTTGCTTTGGAGGTGTTGTAATGTGGGGGCCTGAACAGCTGGGGTTCCTTTAAAGAGTTCTTTCAAGGGTCTATACAGGGATTTCTAGAGTTTATGGGGTACTATTGGGGCCTCAATAGTTAGAACAAGGTTTGGGGGCATGATACATGAACAATGTATAATCAGGAACCTAACGAAACATACTGGTAATTATTCATGCTTCTCTATGTTAAGGTGGGCGGGCTTCGCTTGCCTATGTGGCATGTGCATAACGTGATTTCGCCCCTTACTGACTACTTGCTTGCCAAATTTCTCGAAGCCCAGCGGAACCCGAAACCCTCCGACGGGGCTAACCTGCTTCTTAAGGGCTCATCTTCCCTACAGAGTGAACTTTGGAGTTGCAGGGTTCGTCCCTGAACCAAGTGAAACTCTGAAGTGGCGCGGGGCTCGAGGTTCTAATTGAAGCGTATCCAGAGTACCACCATCTGCTCGCACTCTTCTGAGCAACTCAGCAGCCCTCCAAACCCTGAAAAACCTCAGGTACCTCTAGTATCATATAGTTTGTTCTGGTATATTATGGTATGTTATGGTATATCATTACGGTATGTTACGATATATTACGGAAGACAGTCTGCTTCGGGGCGCCTGAAAGACAGCCATCACTGAGGCTGAGCACACCGGCCAGACAGAGCGCCAGGGTCAGCCCACTTAGCACCACACCTTTCGGTTCAGGGCAGGGGACTCCAGGGTGGTCAGAGCTTAGGAAGGTTTAGGGTTTAGGGTTTAGGGTTCGGGGTTTAGGGTTTAGGGTTTAGGGTTTGGGGTTTAGGGTTTAGGGTTTGGGGTTTAGGGTTTGGGGTTTAGGGTTTAGGGTTTGGGGTTTGGGGTTTGGGGTTTAGGGTTTAGGGTTCGGGGTTTAGGGTTTTTTAGGGTTCGGGGTTTAGGGTTCGGGGTTTGGGGTTTAGGGTTTGGGGTTTAGGGTTTAGGGTTTGGGGTTTGGGGTTTGGGGTTTAGGGTTTAGGGTTTGGGGTTTAGGGTTTGGGGTTTAGGGTTTGGGGTTTAGGGTTTAGGGTTTGGGGTTTATGGTTTAACTTGCCGCTTTGGGGCGTCGCTCCAAACAAACTTAAACAGCACTGGACCAGACACAAACTTCGCAAATGCAGGGGAACCCGAGGGTTTAGGGGTTAGGTTTTAGTGTAGGCATTCGGATTCTGGCATGGGTTCTAGACTAGTTGATGCCGATGACAGAAGGAAGGTATGCTACGTTCATCGCGTCTGCGCTGTCCAAACATGGTATATTATAAGATGGGTCTGGAAGATTTGGAAAATTAAATGCCTCTGTTTAAGACCGACTCTAGAGACACGTGCTAAGTTGCACCACCGCTGTCTTTATTGCGCTTGGCTGGATATGCCTGCTTGAACGCAGGCCAATAAACTAGCAGCCCGAAAACTCGGCAACTAACCACGCAGGCATAAAGAAGCACGAAGGCAGAAAGAGTTGCTGTTTTGATCAAGGCCCCTTGCTATGAGAATTCAGAAAGACGCCCGATTCACAATGACGCCTCGTAATAACGCTTCCTATATATGCCGAAGGTCAGATTCGGAACACGGGATTCCTGCATAAATAGCAACCTTTAACGCGGACGTTGATTTGGGATCTTCGACGGAGGTTTGCTTCTCCTGGATAGCAACACATCGTCTCGAGCTGCACAACCTGTGATCTGTTTCAAAGGGGCAAAGGAGGGACCCTTAATGGGGACCCCACCCTATAATGGGCTATTTAATGGGTATATAATAGCTTTGTTAATGGTATATACCTAGGGATCCTTATTAAGGGTCCCTCCTTTTACCCTGGGATTGTTCTTCGGCTCCAAATGCCGCAGTATGCGCACAGATCGCAATCTTAGTCTTGGTAGTTCTCAGGCTCGTTTCCCGTAGATTGTTACATGGTCTGCTGTCGCAAGCTTCCAACAGCACAAGCTACAACATGTCTGGTTGCTCTCAGGCTTTAACTTTGATTTGGTGCGGGAGAAGCTGTCGCGCTCGGACTCCAAATGGACTCCAAATGTTCCGTAACTGGTCGTTTCCACTCGGCAACTGGAGCCTTTTTGGTTGTTCTCAGGCTATATCTACTTTGCATTGCACGTTCGCGTCGTCCCTGCCACGGTGGCTTTACGAACGCCATCCTCCAGAAGCTCTTCACACATTCCTACACATCTTTTCGTGCACAGTTGTCAGCTATTGTCCTGTCCCGCATTCTTCGAACAGCATGCTATTTGCTCTGACTGCCCTCGCCAACTCGACGAAACATACCGGCACTTTGGGCTGTATATCCACGGTTCCAGATATTGCTCAGGATTCCGCATGCCTTCTAGGGCCAGGGCGCAGCTTAGAGATAATTTCGGTTTGCTTTGGCTTGCACTGCTGTTCACCTGCTTGTAGCTTGCCATGGCTTGAAAAACTTTAGAATACGGCAAATCACAGAATCGGCGAAGTGCCCGTGAACAGGACCCAGGACGCAGTGCGACTAGAGGAGCGCAGGGGCTGAAACTTGCCTTTGGTTTGTAGGGAATGGAGGAATGGGGTACAATTATAACTACTATTACTGCCTTTCTTCCATTCCCTACTAACCAAAGGTAAGGAAAGACCGAGGGACTGCGGGCACCCCCGGGGCGGAGACCAGAGAACAAGCATTGCCACAAGAGCAAAAAGTTCAATCGTTGCAAAGCAAAAACACGGCGCACGGTTACCAAGAAAATCCCAGGCCCAGAAGGGCTTTGTTTGACAAGGATGTACAACTTATCAGATCTTGGAGATTCGGTGGATAGCAACACTGGCAATCATGCGGCAGAGCAGAAAGCGTCCTCAAAGATTCTTTGTATTGTTTGCAGCTAGTGCAAGTTTCTGGTCATTCACTGTCGGTGGTTCGCTGACGAAAAGCAGGAATGCAACTTAAAGTTGTTCTGGTTTTGAAGCAGAAGCGTCCCATCGTCAGTAGCACAACGAGACACTGCCTGACTGGCTAGTTGTTGTGCATGTGGTTGGCTTGGGTTTGGATGGCGCAACGCAGGGAGCCTTCGCCGAAAAACACGAGAGAGCATCGCAAAACCCAGAATCACTAAGTTTCAATTTAAGTTCTTGTGGGGCACAAGAAATGCCAGATGTGCTCAAGTAGCTAGATAAACTCAACCAGCTCGCAAAGTGGCCAGAGAGGAGTCGCAACGTTGCTGCAGTCCGTATATTCGTGTATACTGCACAGTACCAGTTCAGCTTAAACAGGTCTCGAGCACCCTACAGGCCAACAACTTCTCAACAGAGGTATTCGGCAGTTTGGTCCTTGAGCCATCTTCAAAGACAACACCGACTCCATCACACTCGGAACTTGCTTGCGCTTAAACCCGAAACCCGATATAGGGTTCCCGCAGGATTCAAGGTTCATGAATCGGAGGATTGAGGTCTACGGCCTACGGGGCCCCTCACGGATCCTGAAAAACTTCTTGTGAACAACATTATTGCTAGTATCATTGTTGTAAGGAGGCACGAGCGCCACAGATTTTGTGGATGAAACACAAATCATGCAAAGTCCCGGTACTTCCAGGTGCGGCCAGAGCCACAGCGAAGGAGGGTGCATCTTGCGTGCAGCGCCAGTAAACATCGCCGGCAACCAAAGATGCAGAGGAGAGTGGAAAGCAGGCCTAGTGCGAAGCCTGCCAGAGGGTTAAGGGCTTCGGGTTTTAGTTTAACCCCAGCCCCGCAAACACACAGAAACCTAACAGATTCAGGGGCTCAGCACTCAGTGGTTTGGGTTTGCAAATGCGCAGGAGGGAAGCGGATGAGGAACTCGTGGAGATGATATAGTCTAGCTTCGAAAAGTATCTTGTAGCTTAACACGGTATACTATAGTATATCTCAGTATATTCCAGCATGTGTAGCTTCAAGTCTGCGATCTGGTTCGGCTCCCCGTGTAGAGGACGTAGTATGTAAGGGTTCAAGGTTTAAGACGTAAGGATTCAAAGCACACGAGTCAATGTCTGTCAGTGTAGACTGCTGAGAAGCCCCCCCCCCCTCTGCGTGTCGTATTTTCTACATTGCACAATCAGTCTCAATATCCAGAGTTTCAAGCCGTCAACCTTCTTTCCTCTGCAGCAGGCACCTGAAAGAAGGCAGAAGGCCAGCACGCGTCCGTCAACCTTTCCTCGGTGACCAGAGCTTGGAGTCCAACCCAAGGAAGCCTTGCAAACCAAATGCCGCAACCCATCTTCGAGCAATGTTATAGTACATTGTGTTACAGCATAAGTCTATCTTTTCCAATTTTTTGTATATTGTAGTATACCTCAGACCCCGAATCCACGTCCCTGCATGGAGCCCTGAAGTTACCAAAGATGGCTTCCGGGCGTCGTATCTGCTCGAAAATCTGTAAGGCGATTCGTTCCGGGGGATCTTTGCCCAACGCCGCCTCCCAAACGCATCAAGACTTCTTGAAGCTTGGGCAGGGGGTGTAATATAAGGGCCTTAATAATTAGAATGGGTTTCGGGATAATAAGGAGCCGCCAAAATAGTGTTGGTAATTATTTCGGCCCCTATATTACCCGGAATCCTACAACCTACGCTCTGAATTGCAGGGTTTACGGCTTCATCGTCTACTGCAGTTCAGAATCCGAGTCGTGCATTCTCAAGGATCGAAACGGAGCTTCGATGCGCTTGTTGCCCGGAGGTTGGTAAGCCCTGTTAGAGACCAGGCTTCACCGTCGAATCTAGCCGGTTTAGTGGCGCCCCTGCTTCATTCTTGTCATGGTTCGGTTTTAGTATTTCGTGCTTGTGAAAGCTACATTTGTATGATTTCTGCTGTTTGTAGTGTCGTACTTTGCATTGCTTGTGCCGTAGGCAGCAAACCTTAAACCAAAACCTGTAGCCCTATTCTGAGCACTAAACTCAACTCAAGTCGAAAATCCAATACGAACCTACAAACACTTAGTCTAAAACAACCTCAAAGAGAATCAAAAAAAACATGGCGGTAAAGAGGCGCAAAGAAATAGAATAGGGTTTCGGGGTACACTGTAGTATGACTGCACATGCATGCTATCTATATATATATATATATATATATATACATGTATATGCATATGTAAAGGTATATACCCATGTATATACATATACATATACATATACATATACATATACATACACATATACATATACATATACGTATACATATACATATACATATACCTATACATATACATATACATATGTATATACATATACATATACATATACATATACATATACATATACATATGCATATACATATACATATACATATACATATAAATATACATATACATATACATATACATATACATATACATATACATATACATATACATATACATATACATATACATATACATATACATATACATATGCATATGCATATGCATATGTATATGCATATGCATATGCATATATATATATATATGTGTGTGTGTGTTCAGATGATAGCAGTAGTAGTAGCCGCAGCAGCACAACCACTCGCACCAGCACTCGCACTGGGACTCGCACTGGCACTAGCACTGGCACAAGCAGTAGTAGTAGCAGTAGTGGCAGCAGCAGCAGCAGGAGTAGTAGTAGTAGTAGTAGTAGTAGTAGTTGTTCTACTACTACTACTACTACTACTACTACTACTACTACTACTACTACTACTACTACTACTACTACTACTACTACTACTACTACGAGTGACTATTCCCCTAAACCCTGAACCCCTAACCCCAAGCCACCTCATTGAAGGCCGAGCTCGAGACTGGCTGGCCAAGAAAGCTGGTGCACATCCTCATTTGAAGAGGTTCTAAAAGGGCTTCAAGGCTCAACTTAAAGGATTCTACAAGGGCCTCTGGGTTTTAGATGGTCTGGATTGTTTGTTTAGGGTAGTTTCGAATTTGGGATTTCGGGTTCGGGGTTTTGGCGTGCGCATCCTCCTTTAAAGGGTACTTAGGGGGTCACACGTTGATATTTGGCCGCGTGGTTTTGCGGCATGTCTAGTTGGACTTGCTTTCGAAAGTACTGGTATTTGCAGGACTTTTGTAGCTTGGAGTCAAGACTGGGGTTTATGTCTGGAGGCTACATTCAGGTACCTAAAAGTTAGGGCACGCCTTTCAGCACACTCGGCTCAAGTGCGTGGCGAAGTCGGCTTTGTTACTCAGTTGGCAACGCCAGACAAAGCTGTACACAGCGCTGGTGGCCCGGATACCTCAGTCATCATAAGCGGATCTGTCCAGACGTAGTTGGCCGTCTACCGCCCGTCGAACGATCCCCAGGCTCTCAAGAGCTGGGACAGCCTCCTCGAAGACATCCACGACATTTGGCCGAAGATGCTGCTGCACAGTCTCCGCTGACAACCACGGCGTTTGGCCATCAGAGAGCATGAAGAAGACTTCCAAAATCTCTGCACAAGGATCTTCCCCGACAGCATCACGTGACCGCTCCGACACAGAGCCATTTGCTGGCACAGCAGCAAGAGTCGTCTGGCGCAAGGATGTGGCTGGCAACACACGATGCCGCTGCACATCTTCCATGCGAAACGAAGTACCAAAGTGGGCGATGTTTCGCCTGGCTGTGCCCACAATACGAACAGACCGGCGCCAGACTTCGGCTTTGGCTGGTTGGCCCAGTGCTTCTAGCTCGCAGGCTTCCTGCTCGGCCAGCACACAAGCGCCCTCCCAAGCCCGTCGCTCCAGTCCAGCTGCCGAGGTTGCAGTCGTAGTCAAGCCGGCAGCGTCTATCACGGCCCGATAGAACCTGATCGCATGGACCTGGGAGGGAAAGGTGATCGGGAGAACAATGCACGGCATGGCTCGCTGTCGAAGTGGAAGCATGCTGAATACCAGAGGCAAGTCCTGAGCTCCGTTGTTTCTTGCCAACTGTGCGACGACCGCAGCACCCACCTCCTGGTTTTCAGCTGAAGCATGGCAAGGGCTTTCACCCACCTCCTGGTTTTCAGCTGAAGCATGCCAAGGGCTTTCAGCAGCGGGTCGCCCAGAGGGCCCAGGGCTGGAGTGAACAGAACACGGAGACCATGGCTGCAGCTCTAGCCGCTGCGAGCTGACACTTTCGGGGCTAGCGGCACGCTGCCGCTTCCGAGGCGGCGTTTCATTTGGGCCAGACATGCTGGCTGCGGGGACTGAAATCAAACCGGACGCTATCAGCCCCCCCCCCCACCCCCTCCCCCCCCCCCAACCCCCCTCCCCCACTCCCCCCTGTGTGTCCTGACAGGCGCAATTATGAGACAACTTCACAAAATGTGAGGAAAAGTGAGGAAAAGCACATGGCCAGATACGCGCGTGTGTGGACTTAGGGCTTAGGCATCCAGAGCGAGACCAATTGCATTGTTTGATTTCAGCGATGTGCGTAGTGCTACAACTGCCACAAGTTGGGGCAGGCGGAGCGCCAGCTGTAAAGTCAAAGCCCGAGGGCGGTGGCTCTGTTTGTGTTTCTGTCTGCATGTATATACATTTGTGTATACACGAATACATACATATACATGGAAATATACATATACACATAATTTGCATGTACATTTACATGTACGTACACGTATACATATACATGTACATGTACATGTATATGCACATGCACATGTACATGTACATGCACATGGTCAAGTTCATACAAAGCAGGTGCATATACATGTACATATACATATACTAAAACATGTGTACTATGTTGGTGGTGCGGGAGTGCATACCATATTGTTGTTCATCATCACAACCACCATTTTCGATGGAGACAGAAGCAGCGGCACCAGTGAAAGTACCATCCTGCTTCACAGCCTCTTTACCACCAGCAATACCATCTCTGAAAACCCTGAACACTTTCATGTTGATCATCAGGCTCGTAACGAACATGAACATCAACACGATCAACAATAGATACCATCGTCGTCTTGATGCAGCAATGCCAAACTCAACTTCTTTTTCGTAAGAGTCATGGTTATCGCAAGCATAGCAGCACCAGCATCAACAGCAGCCTCAAGCCGTCATTAAACGACCCCCCGTGCAATCAATGCCCTGATCCTACGACCCCAATGGAAGGAAACCAACAACCTGACACGAACCAGATCCCTCCACCATGACAGGATTCGTACTCCCGAGCTGTAGCACGGTTGTTGATATCAGCGTAACATGCAGAAGCGTGAGGAAAGCCAGCGCAGCCATGCACCAAACGACTTTCGACATCGCTACAGGTTCCTGGGGTCCAGGGCTAAAAGTGGTTTCGGGTGCCTGGTTCAGGGCACAAGCACTAGCATGCAAGTTTTGGGTGCATGGCAGGACCCAAAAACAAAACCGATGTCATTTGTGGAATCCTTGATATTGGCAACCATAGCCGTAGCCTAGGAGTAACAGTGCTCTAGTTGTTGCCGTTGTCGTCATCGTCGTTGTTGTCGTTGTAGCTCTCATGAGGTTTCGGTCCCAGGATGTCTTGCCCGTTTTGAGGATCTTTGTGCTGTCACCCTCAGGGTCGGTTTGGGAGTTCAGTTACGACTTGAGGGTTCAGTTTCTGTCCTGAGATCTGGCCTGCACCCATCATCTTCCCAAAACTACCCGATTCGTTCGGCGATGAGCACACCACGTAAACCGTAATGTTGCGGCAAAAATGTGTCGACAAGCCACATTCGAGGAGACTCGCACTGACGCATCGTTTGAAAACATCTATTCAGCTTAAACAGCCAGCCTGAATATTTGGAAAAAGAATGCGTAGAACAGTATCGGTAGTTACTCGGCCTTTATACTGCTTTCAAGCCTCTGAGTCCTCCTTGCCCCAATGTCTTACGTGTCTGAATAAAAGCACCCGTGACAGTCAGAATAGGCTGCGGCTGGGATACTATGGCTGCAGTACCCATAATAAGGGATATACGATAATTCCAGTAGTTTAGGGTACTTAAGGTAATGCAGGATTTATACCATCAACCGTATCGCGAACTATTCGGGCTTCTATGTTAGCTTCAGTCTGCAGCTGCAGTTCGGAGCAGCCCTGCAACTTCCTATGTGGGGCAGTGCTCTTCGAGAGCATTTTGTACTCTTGGGGTTTGGGCTTTCGGTTTTGTTGACTCTAAACCCTAAACCCTAAACCCTAAGTTAAGTTGGTTTAGGTTTTAAGGTTGCGGCTTCGGAAACATTGTCGGGCTTTACAGGGTCCATACATCTGTCTGCTCTGGGCTGACAACGCTTTCCAAACAGAAGGGCTTCAAGAGGCAACCTGGAAGAACCAGTGGCACCAATAAAAATTGTGTGTGTATATATATATATATATATATATAAACATATATATATATACATATAAATATATATCATATGTATATATATATATATATATATATGTATATATATATATATATATGTATATGTATATATACATATGTATATACACACGTATCTGTATCTATGCACAGACGAAGACGTGTAAGCTCGTGTGTATGTGCAGTCTAACAACCTTAAGCTTCCCTGCACCTTCAGAAATTCATCTCTGCTGCGGCATTCAACTAACCCGGCAATGAAACTTGGCGGATTCCGGGCACTGAACTCTATGGTTTCGAGCCTCGGGCTTCGGACTCATTAGGTACTAGGCACCCTAGGCCTACTCCCACTCCAACTACCCCTACTCCTGTTGCTCCTAATACATCTACCACTCCTACCACTCCTACTACTCCTACTACTCCTGCTACTCCTGCTACTCCTGCTACTCCTAGTCCGCTACTCCTCCTCCTCCATGATGCTGGTGCTTCTACTGCCGCTGATACTGATGCTGCTGTTTCTGCCATGATGAGCATTGTGTTGTTTTACCGTCGTGAACCTACAAATGCGTGCTCCACACCTTGTGGTTGAGATACTCAGCATGCCATTGCCACGGCAATGCCAATGTCTGTGATGAAGGTGACGACGTATCATTACATCCAGCACCATGACTATGGTGACGAGCCTTGCTGGTGATAAGGACGATGCTTATACTCGCGGCGATGTTGCGGACCTGGCTAAACCATGATGACTGCTGCAAATTCTTCTCCCTTGCAGTCATCATGTTTTTGTGAGAGTACACGGCATATCATTGGTCGGTTTCACGTGCTTTGGCGCCGGGCAGGGTGAAACTGCGTGTCCGATACGAACTGAACCGGTTTCGAGAGATGCGAAGCAGAGCGCCCACTAGCTGAATGCAGTACATCGAAGAGTGCGAAGAAGCAAGGTTGCAATAGCCCTATACTGAAATCTGTCGGGTATTTTGCATGTGATGTGCTCGAGCTGCTTATAAATCCGGGTGCTACGCTGAAGGTCCCGGATTCATCTTCCCTTCGAGCTCCACTGCTTACGGCTTAGAGCCCTAGAGTACTTGGAGGTTCATGAGTAGTTATGGTAAGTATAGTTACCCCACTTAGCCCTACTTACAACCACCCATGAACCTCCAAGTAGAGTAGATGGGCGAAGACGCTTCTTGGACCTCTCGGCGGCTCCTCTGACTATCGCCGGAACCGGGTTTTATTGGAAATCGAAAGACGCGTTCTGCCTACATGGCTGGGTAGGTCTCAACATGATCCCAGAGGACCCTATGTACCGATATAGTAGAATGTAGGGTTTCCATAGTAGGAATTACTATTATGACTTAGGGAAGTATCCCCCATAACAGTACATAGGACCCTTTGGGGATAGATGCCGGAACCAAATCGAAACAGTGACCTTCCGGAGAGCAATACGGGCTAATGCAATCAGGCTTACCCAGCCATCGGAAGATACAGACCGCGTCCCTTCACGCCTTGAGCGGGAAAGGCTTAACTTATCACGTAGCCATTTCACCTCTGCAGCCAACGACCCCCAAGCCGATATGTCGGCCCCACTTAGGCCCCAGACCTCGAAACTGCCTTCCGAAGTTTGATGTGGGGGTTTCCGATAAAAAAGGGGCACCTTGTTTTAAAGGCCCTCATAATAAGGAGCCTACTATTTCGGGTACTAAATTAGGGTCCCCCATTTTCGGAAACCGCCATATGCACGACAAGAGCTTATGGTTTATGCTTTGAGCATTTGCAACTCCGCCAGCAGTAACACCCAAAGGTCCGTCCAACCGATGGGACCTGCAAAGTCACGGAACCCCTGATCCGAAACTTTCGAAGATGTAAAACTTTGCGGCAAACTTTGTAGAGCACTGGCATGATAGCCGTGTATACTTTATACGGTATCCTTATAGAAAGCCCCTTGTAAAGACCTTCTAGTAATATCCGGACAAGATGTGCTCTTTTCGCTCGGGCTTTCGGTTTCGGCTTCTTACCCTTCGGGGCTTTGTGGCGGACTTAGGGTTTAGGGCCCATGCAGGGTTCAGGGTTTAGGGTTTAGGGGCTAGGGCCTGGGGTTTAGGGCTTCAGGTTTTAGGGTTTAGGGTATGGGGCTTTAGGGTTTTAGGGCTTTGCGCTTTAGGGTGAATCGTAGTGCCCTATGCCTAAGGGCTCATAACCTACTCTGCTGAAGGGTTTATGGTCACTTTGGCCGTGAGCCCGACACTTGACGGGCTTGGAATCCTGGGCGTTGGCGCTCGGTAGGCTAAATCGTTGCATCGCCCGTGTCCACGGGCCCCAAGTGCATACCTCGGCAGTTGTAGGGTTTAGGCGCTTTTGGGCTTAAGGCTTTAGGCTCGGGGTTAGAGTTTAAGGTTTCTCGATTGATTCGCGGTTCTATGTCTGGCCAGGGTGTAGGGTTTAGGGTCTGGTGCTAACCAGAGTCCTTCCGCACTGTCTGAGGTAGACCAACCTGTTGAGCGCTGCGACCGAAGAACACTACTCGTACTCTGCGAGGGTGCATTTAGGCTCGCCCAAATCACTAGCACCGTTGTGCGAGATCTCGCAACCCTGAACAACTACAATAGAGCCACAACTTCCTCCTAAACCCCTAAACCCGAAACAGTAAACCCCTAAACCCGAATCCCTGAACCCCCCAAGCCCCTAAACCCTAAACCCGAAACAGTAAACCCCTAAACCCGAATCCCTGAACCCCCCAAGCCCCTAAACCCTAACCCCTAAACCCTGAATCCCCAAGCCCCTAAACCCTGAACCCCCAAGCCCCTAAACCCTAACCCCTAAACCCTGAACCCCTAAACCCTAAACACACCAAACTCGAAAGCCACAGGACCGAAAAGCCGAGCTTGCACTCCAACGAAAGATCCTCCACTCCCGAACTACTCTCGTGGCCTTAATGATTAGAAGAGGGTTCCTTTAAAGGGGTCTATAACGGTTACTATAAGGGATCTATAGGGGTACTATAATATAGTGGCCTCAATAATCAATGTCATGCCAATAGGGCTTCTGGGGCCATGATACTTCTTATTACAATAAAAAACCGCCAAAATAGTATAGGTATTTACTGTATTTAAACACCATTCTCCTTTTGTCCACATCTGCACCCAAAGGCCTCGGCACCCCGAAACTCCCTAAGGAAGAGCAGGTTTAGGGTTTCGGGTTTCGGGTTTAGGGTTTCGGGTTTGGGGTTTAGGGTTTAGGGTTTGTTTTCGGGCTTAGGGTCCAAGGTCGCGGGTTTTTGGCTAGGGCTTAGGATTCGGAAGTCTAGCGAGTCGTGTCCGCGGCACATGTCGATTTTAAGGACCCGACAGGGGCTTGGTGCTCAACATGAGGCAAGAATTTCGGATTCTAGATCTGGAAAACCTCTCGTACAGAGCACCTACTCTGCAAATACTAGATAATCGTAAACCCGAAACCCTGAACCAAGCCGAAGCACCAGAACTGTGCCGGCTGCTTTGGTAGCTGTTTCTGTAGAGAAAGCTTGTCCGGGCTTCTGTCCGGGCGTCCTGGTTGTTTCGGGACTATGGTTTTGGTGTTTAAGGTTCAGGGCTTTGGTTTGCCCCTAAAACCTAAACCATAAAACTTGTAGTGTCAACAATGCTTCTAACTGAGAGGATGCGAACAAGGGAGCAATGGTGAAAACTTGAGCCCGGATCCTCGCCGAGTGCTGATACTTCTATATTCTAAACTGAGTTCATCGACCACAAGCTAGGATTTCTAGTACTTCCACGATGACTGTTGCCGGGGATATCAGCAACTTAGTGTTGACGGAGACACCGGAAGTCTGATGACCTATATGCGGACCATGAGCTCTTCAGCCACAGCCTCAAGAACCCTAAACCCTAAACCCTAAACCCTGAACCCTGAACCCAAGCCCTGAACTCTAAGCCCGTCGCCTGTCGCCTGACTCCGCAAGCCTGGGGCTTCATGGCAGGGGGGTTTTTTGGAGGTTCATGGGTAGTTCTAAGTAGGTATATAAGTAGGGTAGGTATACTTATAACCCATATTACGGGACTTATAACCCCATTTATAACTACCCATGAACCTCCAAGTGTGTGCTTTGTGGCTCCTCCTGCGGGCTATCTAGCGGGCTACTTAGCCGCGGCAGCGCCGGCAGCGCCAGCGTAGGGGCAGGATCCTGAAACAGTCTCGATGGAACAACGGATGATAATGACCAGGATTCTGACGACGACGACGAAGATGAAGATGCTGACCATTGTGCGCTTGATGCTCATAATCATGCTGGAGATGATGATGACGACGACGATAATGAAGAAGAACAAGGTGCTGACGACGATGATGAGAAGGAGGATGGGTGATCTGCATATCATTTCTACCAGCATTGTTGGCTTGGACTCTGTTCACCATGAACGTCATCGTTTTATGTCGTCAACATGGGCCCTGTCAGCATCAGTAGCAGCAGCGGCAGCAGCATCAGGAGCACGAACAGAATCGACAAAAGGACGGGACAGGTGAACATGATGACCGTGGCAAATGTAGTAACACCCATGGTGGTGGTGGTGATTACGATGATGATGACGATGGTGCTGATAGACCCTACACCTAAAATTTGACAACCTTCAACCCCAAAACCCAATCACTTCGAGTCTTCAAGATGAATGCCTTCCCAGAGCGTTTGAAGCAGGGCTCGGACTTTCCGGTAATGGTTTCATAGCACTAGTGTAGTGGCCATAATCTACAAACTTTTTCTTAGGGTTCTTAAGATAGCTGTCCTGTAAAATGCCCCATAAAGGCCCTCATACTATCTTGTTTGTAAATTGCTAGGACACATGTCGGTGCCTTCGGACGTTGGGTTTTTGGACCAAGACCAGCCGAAGGCCTATGCCTTAAGGTATAAGCAACACATCGCCCAGAGAGCCCTGCGACCTGACGCTCCGAACCCTGATCCCTGACATAGTAGGGCTTCAATCATGAGAAGGGGTATATCAGGATCCAAGTTGAGGGATTTGGGTAGTACGGTTATCCCTTGCGCTCATTTTTGGGTGGGTGGGAGCCGAAGCTAAACGAACGCCTACATGCCAAACCCCTTGGAGGGAGAAAGCCGGTCCTTGACGTCCTCGATAGTGATGCGCGTGTGGGCGACAGGGCCAGCCACGGGAATGACAACCTGCGCCTGCGTCTTTGATTTTGCTGAAGGCTTAATATAGGGGCCTTAATAATTAGAATAAAGTTTCGGGCCCATTAGACTATAAATATAATAAGGAACCCAAAGCAATATAGGTAATCATTACGGCCCCTAGATTGCAGCTCGGAAGTTGCAAGCTTGAGTCACAACCTTCTCACGTTGGCCTTCGATGAAGCCCTTACAGGCTGTACAGAACCGTCACCAAACGGAAATCTCCTCAAGCCCCAAAGGACACCCACAGAGCCTCCAAAGGTGGCGAAATCCAGAAGATCCAAAAGCCCCGAAAATGCAGAGTTTCCTGGGGATCCTCTTAAAACGGCCTCTAGGCTTTGAATTGGGTTTAGGGTTTCGGGTTTAGGGTTCGGAGGGATCCTCTTTTTTAGGGGCCTCTAGGGCTTTGAATCGGGTCCGTTCACACCGGCCGCTAAGGAAAGCATGGAAGCCCCAAACTCTCGAAGTCCTGCAGAGCAAGCGGCGTGAATCCTTCACCAGACCTCTTTGACCCCAGCGCTTGTTCGGATGCTTAGAGTTTAGAGGTTTAGGGGCTGTTAAGTTTAAGATCCCCGAACCCCAAACCCTAAACCCCAAACCCTAAACCCCAAACCCTAAACCCCACACCCCAAACCCTAAACCCGAAACCGGACCGTCCTTAGGATCCCGAGGCCAAATCGAAAGGCCTCCGTCTGCTGCTTCGCCCCACCTGGCCCAGTGTGCCCACACTGGGCCTCCAGAAACAACGTCTCGAGAACGGCCTCGGCGTGGACAGAGCCCAATACATTGGGTACGGCCCCCACTCAGTAATAGTTGAAAAATATTCCTTATATGAATATATTAGGACCTTAATGATAGCCCTACTATAGACTCTTACTGTAAGGGGGCCGTACCTAACCAATACAAAAATAACAAAACCACAAAACCCAACAACCCCCCAACAAACCCTGAGCAATGTTTAAGCAAGAGTACGATGGAAAACCCAGCCAAAACAAGAGTGTGAGGACACTTGGGAGATGGCATAATATCATAAAGAAAAATATCAAATAACTATGACATACTGTATTGTAATGTACTATAACCTACGATAATTTGATATACTAAAATTTAAAAACCCAATAAAACTAGACCCCTCCGGCATGGTTTAGGGTCGGGAGCTAGGGAAATCCCAAACCGCCTGCGGACGCAAAGACAAAAAAACACCGAAACACAAGCCCTGTGTCAGGACCCCATGCGTGATCTGGAAACCATGAAAAAAAACAGGGAGCCGAAGAGTGTGGCATTGCCAGAACTCCTGCGATACTAGCGACTTCCAACCACTTGAAGTGCAAACTGCACCACGAGTATGGTAAAACCACTGACGGCATTGCGGTGGGAGCAGCCTATGCATGGCACCAAACCAAGAACCGAAAATATCAAGCCGAATCGATCTCGAGGCGTCAGACTCTGAAGGCAAATGCAGCCAAGTCCAAGCCTTGCAGCATGCCCGAAACCCGCAAAATCCTAGATCCTAAACCCTGAAGCCATACCTGAACCCTAAACTCATACCCGAAACCCTAAATCGTAGACCCCGGAACCTCACCTGAAGAACCAGCACCGACCCGTGCCAAGAGGCTGTAGACTGCTTTAGGGCTCCCTCCTGGGTGTCGGACTTTCGGGTTTTAGGGATCGCGGGTTGTTTGGTCATGTAGATTCAGGGTTTAGGGTTTGGGGTTTCGAGTTTTGGGTTTAAGGTTTGGGGTTTAGGGTTTAGGGTTTAGGTTTTGGGGTTTTGGGGTTTGGAATCGGGGTTTAGGGTTTAGGGTTTAGGGTTTTACTCAAGGTTCAGGATAGTTGTTTCAGTGAACTTGGGAGATTTTGGGCCCTGAGTCTCGGGGGTCTGGAGCTTGTTAGCTGCTGGAATCTCTACCCTAAAACAACAAAACCCTAAACCTTAAAACCCAACCCCAAAACCCTAAACCTTAAAACCCGAAACCCCCTAAGCCCGAGAACCCTAAAACCCTGTTCCCCTATAATCCTTCGACCCCTGAGTTTGGAGTTTTACGGGCCTGGCTCAATCCAAAGAGCCCAATAACCCCCCTAATTAATGTAGCGTAAATCCTAATAATATGAAGCCCTAAGCTAAGCCATATTCCTCCATTAAGGGGTATTGGGGTCTCTGGGAATCCACAGCACCTGAAGCTTAGCTCCAAACCATCCTGCACACTGTCTATGACTCCGCTTTAAGGCTTTGGGCTTAAAGTTGCTTAAAGTTTATGGTTGAGGGTTTAGGGTTCAGGGGCTAAAGCTTAGGTGTTCAGGGCTTGGGGCTTAGAGTTGAAGGTTTAGGTTTAAGGCTTGGGGTTTAGGGTGTAAAGTTCAGGCTGAGGGCTTAGGGCTGAGTGTTTGAAGTTTAGGTGTAGTTCCTAGGGCTTGGGGGGGCTCAACACTTAGGTTTTGGGTGCAGGGTTTCGGATGCTTGCGACTGCTTCGGGCACCCTGAAACGTCCACAATGCCGGCTGATCTTAACAGGACGCAGAACGAGGCTCCCAGACGTTTAAAGGAAGAACAACCCCAAGCCCTATGCCCTAAAGTCTAGGGCTTTGAGTTCAGGGCTTAACCCCCAAACCCTAGAGTTTAGTGTTTGGGTTCTGGTGGGAACCCCGAAGGTTCAATGCCCAGGCGCTGCGGCGGACAGGACGAGCTGCTCCAGTCTGACGTGGTTGTGGGGTTTGGGGTTTAAGTTTTAGGGTTTGGGGCTTGGGATTTAGGGTTTAGGGTCTAGGATTCAGGCTTGTTCAGGGTTTAGGATATCAGTTTTCGGGCATAGTGCTGAGGCATGCGATGTCTGACAGGGTGTCCCAAACGATCCACTCGTAGCTACGGCGGCCATGGAACTAGGTTGCCGAAGTTCAGCCCGGTATAAATTCATGGGATCAATCAGGGGAAACAGCCTGACCTTCTCTTTACTGTTTGTTTGCACTGTGGCTTGGCACGTCTTCCGTGTAAGAAAGAACGATGCTGATACTTGGAGGATCATGGGACTTAGCAACTAGGGCTATTATCCTGGTAACTGTACTTATAACTACTTATACCCCCAGTGAAGGTACGTATAACCATACTTACTAAGTCCCATACCGCCCATTATAGAACCCTTTAGGGAACCTCGTTACAGAACCCTGCAGTACCCTTAAAAGGAGCCCTACGCTCAGGAGCCCTACGCTCTACTTCCTAAGTCCCATGATCCTCCAAGTAGGGCCATGGCGAAACAAGGATCCATCAACGAGGCGGCCGGGACTCGGAGTTGCCAAGTGGGCCGATCGGTCTTGCCTAAACCCCTGAACAGGGATCCCATAAACCCTAAACCCTATAGATCCCTTAATGGAATCCGTAAAGGAACCCTACTTGAAGGATCATGGGACTTAGCAAGTATGGTTAGAAGTACCTGACTTGGGGTTATAAGTACTTATAAGTATAGGTGTTAGTAGGTATGGTTAGAAGTACCTTACTTGGGGTTATAAGTACTTGTAAGTATAGTTACTGTGATGATAACTCCAGCTGCTACGTCCTAGATCGCAAAGACTGGGCAAGTTGGACTGAAAAGATGCAAGCTTCGGAGTAGAATATGGGGGCCCTAATAACTGGAAAGGGGCTTCAGGGTAAGAATATAGCATAGTTATAATAAGAAACCCACAGGTGTCATATCCTGATTATAACAAGGACCTACGGGTCATTGTTTCCAATTATTCAGGCGTCTATACGGGAGTTTCCGAAAATGGGGGAGCACCCTAAAAAGTAGCATCCTTTTTTTCGGAAACTCCTATATCAACTCATGCCGACGGTGCCTTTCCATCGCCAGCTTCACACTTCCCTGGCCAGGGCTTCCAAGCGAACTCACATGGTAGAATGATATACGTTAATACCCTAGGTGGCCTGAAATCAAGAAGCCTGACGTGCGAATCTTATCGTAATAGCAGGCAGGGGATGTTTTCGCGGCCTGCTACCAGCATCGAGGGCGTGCGATGACCCTGCAAGTCAATGATTGCCGCTGTGAGGTCCCATCTCACGAGAAGCCTAATCTCCCGCAACCCCTACTCCTGCACCCTCAATCCTTCAGTTTTGAATCCTGAGCCCTACACCCTAATTTCTAAACCTTCTAAACTAGATTCTAAACCCTAAACCGTAAGCCCTAAGTCCTGAACCCTGAACCGGAATCCAGCCTCGGCGTCGGCCAAGGTTTTGCTCAAGAGCACCCTCTTCGACAAGTGCGGCTGCTCCACAATCTCCTCAAGCACGATAGACCATGGTGACAGTGGTACTGTAAGGGTACCATGTGCTGCAAGGCTACTTTGGTACTCTACGGTTTGGGGCTTAGTTTATATACGGTTTAGGGCGCGATGGTGCTGTGGTACCTATGGTACGATAAAGATGCTATGGTACGAGGGTACTATGGTACTATAAGCTCTGTAGGGGTACCATGGTACTTTAGTGGTTGTATGGTATCATAAGGGCACTATGGCTTTAGAAGGGTACTTTGGTACTAGAAAGGGCACGAGAAAGACACCACTAAGGGCACTAAAAGGAAATCCCTAAGGCATTGCCAGCAAAAAGTTGCGAAACCCTGTAAATACCAGTGGTTCGGGCATGTACTCACAAGGCGTGAACGCTTGTGACGGCGCCTCGATATTGATAAAGAGGCAATGGTGCTACCCCCCACCCCTGCTCCCCACAGCCCCAAAACCGAAAAGCAAGGAAAGCGATAGGAGTTTCGAGGCGCTTCGATTTACTGCAAAGGCACCATCAAGGGTACTGCAAGGACACCACTAAGATTGCTTGATGGGGGCCGATCCGGATAATGTAAGGTGCGAAAGCGCATAGTAAGCTTGCAACCACTCCAAGCTAAAATCATCTTGAGTATTGTTCTTAGAGCTGCCACACTGAGGATGATGCTGTCGAAGGCTATGTCTATCTGCCGCCATGAACAGATTTCGCACATAGTCATTGCTTCACAAGTTCACGGGTTTAAGAAACCTGAACCTGAAACCCTAAAACCATGCCCTCATCTAAGCCCCGTGCCCGTTCCATGCTCTCCCTCTTGCTGCCGTCGAAATCCTGCGTCGTGTGCCTGGTGCCGGGAGGATTTAGGATTCCGGGGAGCTGGAACATGTAGCTGGCAAAAGGCATCATGAGGCGGCCGCACGCAAGCAAGTCATCCAAACCGTCCCTCGGTACATGCAAACTTCTCTTCAAACATACACTCTCTGCACCTGAGCCCCAGTCCACGCTTGGGAGTCTGCACATTAAATGCTGGTTGGCCCGGAGGTGTGCTAGTGGTGACAACGTAAATGAGGTTGACGACGACGATGATGAAGATGATGATGTTGATGATCATGAGCGTGGTGAACATGTTGATGACTGTTATAACAGTTATGGTGTTGGCGATGATGATGATGATGAAGATGATGAAGATGATGATGATGATGATGATGGCGATGATGGCGATGGCGATGGCGATGGCAATGGTGATGGTGCTAATGAAATGATCATGATGGTGATGATGATGATGATGACGGTGATCATGATGACGATGGTGATGATGGTGATTGTGCTAATGATGATGGTGATGATGGCGGTGATGGTGATTATCGTGACAATGACGGCGGCGGCAGCGGCGGCGGTGGCGGCGGTGGTGGTCGTGGCGGCGGTGGTGGTGAGGAGAAGGCCTATCTAAGAATTACGGGAACGGAGTATTTTCGCGAGCCTGGCGGGGGACCACTGCACAAGACCAAAGCATTGGTTTGCATCCAAAACAAATCGCCAAAAGATGCCTCCTGCGTTTCAAAGCTTTTACTGAAGCATATCAAAGGCACACACTGCACATCGAGGAGGTCTCGAAGGTGGTGCCAAGCGCGGCACGCATGCCTCAGTGGGAACGGTTCCGGCATCGGGCCCCTTGCAAAAAAACAGTCCACACTGGGGCTCAAGGCTTCAGCTCAGAAAGAAGGTCACGCTACAATGATGCCAATTGCCGGCAGCCAGTCATCCAAAGGAGGATGGAAAAACCGTCCCAAGTAAGGATTTGGCCATTTGGGTTTAGGGTTTTAGGCTTCGACCACGCCAGGCCCTTCTCCCAAATCTCAAGTACACATGCACCCCTCAAAGCCCTTAATGCGTGGGCCTTCAAAGTCAGAGTAGGGTCCTGGGCTCCTTTGGAGTATTATCATAATAGGGAACTCCTTAGGAATAATCCTAAACCCTAAACCCTAAACCGATATCGACACTTGTTTAAACCGCTTGCGTCGGGCGCCGAGCAGCGCAAAGGAGAGGAGTCTCCTTCGATCAAGGCTTGGCACAGCCGGTCCTTGGGCTGCGTCTCGGAATGTTAAGTTACTTGGGTGTATGTACATATGAATATATATATATATATATGCATGAATGTGTACATATGTACACACACCCATATATATATATATATATATACATATGTATATATACATACATATATATATACATGTATGTAAACATATGTACATACATTATACAGTGGGTTTTATGTAAACCTTTGAGTATGAGGGTTTCCGTCAAGAGCTTCAGACTGAACACGACACCACGACGAGGCGACGACAACCGCAACGGTGACAACGGGAGCAGCAGCAGTAGCAAGGTTTAGGGTTTAGGGTCTAGGGTTTAGACAGCAGTAGCAATGGCAACGGCCGTACCGACAGCAGAAGTAGATCCTGCTGGTAGAACTACCTGCTTCTTGTACTTGGCTTGACAGCGCAATCTCATGAAAACTCAAGCATAAAGTAGAGGAGTATGAAGAGCAAGAATACGACAAGATTGCACAGGCCAAACCCGGAACAGCGACCAGCACAGAACATATCGTGACACTGACATGAGGGAACATCACGAACCTTAACTATTTCAACTACCAGCCGTCCCTAGCTAACCCCCAGGCTCTGCCCTTAAAGGGTAAACCCCAAACCCTGCAAACCCTAAACCCACCCATTTCCAGCTCAGGTTCTATTCGCTCTGTCATCTTGCCAAACTGTTCATGAAGGAACTCGCGATCCTCCTGCAAGGCATTTTCGGGTCTAGGGTTTAGGGTTTACAGTGGAAGCCCAAAAGTTGGAAACCCCAGAGCCTCCATCCTTAAGACCAATATTTAGGGAATCCCGGCACTATTTGGCCTTAATCAGGTTTCCAACTTTATGGGGTTTACTATAGTGGCTTTGGGGCTTAAGGGTTTAGGGACTTAGAGTTCAGGGTTTTCTGGAGGTCAGGAGGTTTTATTTTCGGTTTCGGGCGTGCCACCCTCCCCTAAACCCAAAACCCTAAACCCTAAACCCGACTCCAAACGCCTAGCGGTGAGGGCAGGCAAGAGCCATGGAAATGCAGGGGCTCAAGTGCTCAAGGATACTCCTGACAGGTCCGGCCTTTTTGGGGAACCTGAAGTAATTTCGGGTTAAGGGTTTAGGGGGAATCGGAAATTTACTTCAGGAATTCAAGGGCCTGAACAATCAGAATAGGGTTTTGGTGGTACAGCATATAATTGCATGATTCCGTACTTATAGTGAATAAGGAACCCGATAGGTGGTAAGGCTTCTATTGCAGGGACTTGGGGCCGGGGGTTCATAGGCTTGGACATCACGAGTACAGGGCTTTTAGTTTCAGGTCCCAGGAGGGTCAAGCGTTCTAGGATCCAGGCAGTCAAGTGGCAAGCTGCTGATGGATGATGTCCTCAGGCAGGAGAAGCTTGCAGCGGAGTCGAGGAGACTAAACTCTGCCAAATCTCCCGGCAACGTGAAAGAACAACTTGAAGATTTGCTGCGAGCTGAAAACCAAAGAGTACCATCGAGGTCTCAGATTCACAACACCTCCATCATGGCACGTATCATACTGTCATATGTGTATCCGCTTCCTTTGAATAGTAGGTGCAATTGTTGAGTTGAGGGCTGCGGCTCGGGAGCGCTGCTTCCAAGATCCCAAGTGTAGGTTTAGGGAGCCCGTGATTTATGCTTGGTGTAGGGCACTTAGGGTCCTTAGGGGTTGGGGGTAGAGGGATTTTAGGATGTAGGGCGACTTACTAGAGCATATGCTTACGGAGCTGTGCCTCCTTTCTGAGCTGCCGCTGTGAGACTAGGTTCACCACAAAAATTATGGAGTTGGATCCTCAGAGTCTCAGATTCTCAACTACATGGGTAGTTCTCTTAGTGGGGGCCCCTTTTCAAGTCCCAAACGTAGTACGGCACCCTTGTAACAAGAACCTTAAAGGAACCCGCATTCAGAGAACTGCCCGCATACCTTCTGCCACAACCGGAAAGCCTCACAGGCCCGCGATTTCAATGGAATTCGGAGCCATGCTCTCAGACCCACGAGCCCGAAACTAAAAATCTGAACACTTTATGGTTTGGGGTTTAGGGGTTTAGGGGTTAAGGGTTTGGGGATTAGGGTCAAGATGTGGTCGAGCGTCATCTTGCTGATGCATCGTCCGCATGAGGTTGTACTTGATGAAGCGTGGTGCCTCTGCTGGCTTCGGTTCATTGCTTTTGGGCCTCCTGCGGTCGATTATATATGTGTGTGTGTATATATATATATATATGTATATATATGTATGTATATATATATATATATCTATCTATCTATCTATCTTGCATTACCCATCATAAGGGATATACCAAAATTCCCATGGTTAAGGGTCCTTAAAATAATGCAGGATTCATATCATCAACAGTGGCTCCTGAGTTGTTTAGGGGGCAGGAAACTCTGCGGTTTCTTCGCGTCCAGGGCAGTGGCCTGGAAACTACACTTCAGATTCGGATCGGGATAACCTTAATAGCTAGAATAGGGTTTTGGGGCCATGATACTCTATTCACAATAAGGCTAATAAGGAACCTCCAAAATAGTATAGGTAATTCTACGGAGTCATGCGGTTTCGATACTTCTAGCTGAGGCTACGAGATACCATGAACATGCGAGCCTGAAGCCGCGCAACCCAACTCGCTCCTGCTTGAAACCCACGGAAAGATTCGATTTCAGAGAGGCCTACAACGGTATGCTACTCACTAACTCTTCGAGCCCTACATGAGAGTGTGGAGTGAAGGGCACCAAAGTTCCAGGGCTCGCGGCTTCTGAATTCAAATTCCTGCGCTCAGAGGTTGTGGGCTCTGAGGGCACTTTCCAGCTGCCGTTAATGGCCCTGACAACAAAGACATCCACCTGGGTAGTTGTCAAAATTATGGTCCTTTTTGGGTACCCAAATATTAGGTGCCGTATTATAATAGACCCAAAAAGGGGCCCTAATTTTGACAACCACCCACCTTTTTTGCAACTGATGGCAAGCATGGTTTGGGGCCTAGGGTGAAGGAATGAAGGCTTCGACATTCGGGCTTGCTCCCGCGGCTCGTTTGAGACGGGTGTCAGATAAGATTTCAAGTGCTCAGATGAGGAGACCCACCTTGCCTCGCGACGCAACAAATCAGAACTGCCTACGGGTGCACGAAAGCCGCAAGACTGGCGACAGCCGACGGATTCAATCTCAAACTTCAAACCCCGATGCACAAAGCAGCTTCAGCCGCTTACCCCGCTTGGGAACTTTGGTGAGGTTGCCTCTTGACCGCGAAGCCTTACACCCAACTTACCCTGAATGCGCTAAACCTGATCCCTAGGTCCTAAAACTTAAACCTGACCTTCAATCCCGAAATCCCAAATCTCGAACCCCTAAACCCTAAACCCTAAACTCTAAACCCCGAAACCTAAACCCTGAACTCTAAACCCCTAAAACCTATAGCCCCAAAACCCCCAAAGACGCCGAAGCCCTGAAAGGAAGAGGCCAAGCAACCGTCTTCGAGTCGTGGACCCATCGGCTCAATGGCCTTCTCGGGTTTCAGGGTTTAGGGTTTTTTTTTTAAAGTGTAATGGTTACCTGGCGGCTCCCTGCTTGGGTTTAGGGTTCAGGGGTTTAGGGGTTTAGGATTTAGGGTTTCACGGTTTTGAGGTTCAGGGTTTCAGGGTTTAGGGGTTTAGGGTTTGACGGTTTTGAGGTTCAGGGTTCAGGGGTTTATTTTGGGTTTCAGGGTTTAGGGGTTTAGGGTTTGGGGTTTCACGGATTTGAGTTTCAGGGTTTCAGGGTTTAGAAGTTTAGGGTTTAGGGTTTAGCGGTTTTGAGGTTCAGGGTTCATGGGTTTAGGGCTTCAGGGTTTTAGGGTTTCAGGGTTTTGGGGTTCAGGGTTCAGGGGTTTAGGGGTTTTAGGAGTTTAGGGGTTTAGGGTTCAGGGTTTCAGGGTCTTGGGGTTCAGGGCTCAGGGGTTTAGAGGTTTGGAGGTTTAGGGCTTGAGGCTTAGGGCTCAGGGGTTTAGGGGTTTAGAATAGGGCTTGAGGCTTAGGTGTTTAGGGGTTGAGGGGTTTAGGGCTTGAGGTTTAGGGGTTTAATGGTTTAGGGTTTGGGTTTTGGGCTTCAGGGCGTAGTTTAGGGTTTCGGGTTTCAGGATTCAGGTTTTTTTTGGGTGGTATAATTAAGAAGGAGGTCTAGGAGATAGACTTACTAATGGGTTTAGGGTAGGATTCGATAATAAAGCCTCCTGCTTGAGCTTGTTTCGGGTTTGTCCGTGTAAGATTGCGGGTTACGCGGGTTGGGGGATTCAGGATTGGGGGGCTTGGGGTTGAGGGGTTCTAGGTTATGGGCGTATTTCCACTACCTTGTAGGATTTAAGGCCTCGTGTCCGCTGAACGGCTAGATTGCAAGGTCCTGCTTCCTAAACATCAACCATCCGTGCTGCCCCCACTCGCTACGTACTCTCAGGGGCCGTGTGCTTCTAGCAGCACCCCACATTGAGTGTGGGGGCTTTCAGAAACTAGACCTGCCTGTGTTGCTCTGATGTGGTAGTCGCCGTCTCGCTTGATTAGATCGAAGCGTTTCTTTTCTGAGCTTCGGACAGCTTCCTTGACATCTGCAACAGTCGCTCCGGCCTCTCTCAGACGATCTGGCCGAAGAACGTCCTGAAGCCGAGCGTATCCGTCCTCACCGACTTGGATGCCCCTCCTTCGGCCTGTGTGCCGTAGCACTTGCGTAAGGCCTTTGGAAATATCAGTCATCCGCCTTGTGCTGCGGTAAGACCTTGAGCCCTGTGGCGGAGAACGGACTCGCGGCGGCCGAGGTCTGGAGTCCCTCCCCCGCGGCTCCCTGGTAGGGGTATCTCATAGCATTATCAAAACAGGGAACTCTCAGGAGCACTGTTGCTCATTGTTCAGCCCTGCTGGCAGGTCGTCTGCAGGGTCACAGGATGCAGGAGAAACCAGCATTGCGGTTTGGCATTGCCGTTTAAGATGCCGTGCCCAAAGCCGGCAACTCAAAGCCCTGTGTATGCCCGAAACTATACCCTAAAAGGCCCTACGTTCCAAACTCAAAACCTCAAAATATTCGCCTCGGCCCCGGCCGAAGCGGCCAGAGGTTCCTATTCGGATTCCCTCTATCTTACTCCCAGTGACCCCACCACCAAAACAAAGGCCACTGGACCCCCCCCCCCCCCCCCCGGAAAAATGGAAACGTGTCGATTAGCCCCAAGGTCCGGTGGTGAATTCTCACCTCCTCCACTAGATTTTGGCTGTCTGTAGGCAGTCCCACCCAATTTCCTTTGCCCCCCACCCCCCCCCCCCCCCCCCCCCCCCCCCCCCCCCCCCCCCCCCCCCCCCCCCCCCCCCCCCCCCCCGCTCCCCCCTGCCCCCCTCCAGGCAAAGTTCGGAAATAGCGTTGCTTTGGGCAGCACAGCACGCGGCTCCACGACCTAACCTTCTCATAGCATCGGAGATTCAAGCATCGCTATCGCCAGCTAGGGGCTATGTCGAATATCAGGCACAGAACGCGGAGATGCTACAATGGTTACATCAACCTCTTGCTGCCTTCTTGAGACAAGCCCTCTGCCTTACGCTGCTCTGCCCTGCTTTGCCCTGCCCTACAATTAATACAAGTGCGATTCCAACTGTTGTTATTTTCGTACAAGAGCTTCCTGCTGCGCCGGATGGTAGCCAGTCGCCGCATGCGCGAAAAGCCGGGCCGAGGCGGACGACGCGAAGCGTTTCAAATTATGAACCCTGAATCAAAACTCAATACCCTAAACCCTAAATCCCAAACTCAAAATCCTTAACCCTGAACCCTAAATCTCAAAACACCTAGACCTAAACTGCATCACTTTGGAGGTTTTGGGATTCCGAGGCATGGGACTAGAAAACAACAGTGCCTGGTTTCGGGTTTAGGTGTTCGGTAGTAAGAACAGTGATACTGCTATTGGTAGCTCAGATCACAAGAGTAACGATCAACCAAACTCATAATCGAAGCCCTGCTGATGAAAGTAGAAATCACACGAATACCTCCTAAACCCTTAGGCCCTAAACCCAAAACCAAACAATCAGAGCCTTCGCCCCTGCCTGATAAACTCTGGTGCTTCGATAGTTCCAGAGCCGTCGGTGTCGATCATGTCAAAGAGCTGTTGCAGATCCACCTGGGTTACCCAGAGAACCCAATACCCCTTAATTAAGGAATATTCCTTAGATTATAGAAATTATAGAGGCCTTAATATTATGATTTACGGTATATTCCTTAAATAAGGATATTGGGATCTCTGGGTAGTTTTGAGGGCTTTCGAGCTTTAGGGGCTCTAGAGGCTTGAGGGCTTTAGGGCTTAAGGGTTGCAGAGTGTAGGGCTTGGCGTCTAAGGTTTGGGGTTCAAATGTTCAGGATTTTGGAGTTCAGGATCTCAGGGTTTAGCTTAGGGCTGTGACAGACGAGTTTAGGGCAAGGGCCTTTGCAGCTTTGGGCTCAGTTTCGGGTGTAAGGCTTAGCATCAAGAGAACTGTAAGCAGATCCCTATTGATAATCAGGTAAAGGTGTTGACTGGTTACGTGTATGTGCGCTCGTATCTGCGCATGTGTATGTATGTGCATGAAAAATCACCAAGTGCATGCCTGCATGTATGTATGTGTATGCAAGTATGTATGTACGTGGGTGTATGTATGTATGTATGTATGTATGCATGTATGTGTATGCATGTATGCTGCATGTATGTATGTATGTATGTCTGTACTATTTAATTTATCTGCATATTTATATTTATGTAAAAATGTTACGAACCGTGTACAGTGCCCAGGGTTTCGTTGTGTGAACAAGTGCAAAGGAATATCCCGAACAAAACAATGAAACTACAAGCCCACGACAAGCAGGAAACATGAAAACAAACCCTAACATGAAAAAGGTGCAACATACATAGGAAGCCAATATGATATGAAAGTGAAATCAAAGTGAAATTAACTGGGCGTAATTGCGATAGACAATTCAATCGCCAATTGTTTGAAGCAAGTCTGAAATGGATGGAGTGGGTATGAAACAGGTATCGAAAAGATGATGAAGTGATTGCATGTCTGAAAGAACACTGCAACCAGTTGCGAAGAGATTCTGTTAAGTTCAGAGACTGGGAAGACTGAAAATGGTGATACGGTTGATGATATAAATCCTGCATTACCCATGATAAGGAATATATTATAACTCCCATAGTTTCGGGCCCTTAAGGTAATGCAGGATTTGTATCATCAGCAGTATGTTCAAACTCGACTGGGGCTGCGACTTATCATTGCTCATGGCTTGAACGTATATTCAATTTCTGTCCTCTGGAATACAAGCGCTTTAGCATGGCAATTCCATGGCTCAATCTTCATATTAATGAACTGCAAGGTACAGAAGGGTATGGGGAAAGGAGGCTTTGTGCTCGATTGACGGATGCTCTCGAAATAACTTACCTTTGGTTAGTAGGGAATCGAAGAATGGTGGTGATAGTAGTTATAACTTAGTTATAACTGTACCCCATTCCTCCATTCCCTACTAACCAAAGGTAAGATCAGGGGCAACGACGGAGACCTCCCAGAACCTCCACCACAACTCCCCTGTCCAACCTCCACGTTTCAAAGCCTCCGACCGCAGAGCACAGGACTCGAAAAGCAAAGAAGCTGACCCAAAGCCTTCATGATATGCTTAAGCTCGAATGAGACCCTGAAGACGCAAACCCACATCGCCCAAACAGCAAAAGAAGCCCAAACCCTTGGTTTAGAACTTCGGATCCTAATCCCTACACTGCGGACCCTAGAAAATTGCATGCTAACACCCCTGAAGACCCTGTACAGCGCAATTTCAGGTCATGCTAAACACCACATCCTGTAACCTTTCCTCGATTTTTCCGGTACTCATGAAGCCTGCCTGTAAACCCTAAACCCTAAACCCTAAACCCTAAACCCTGAACTGAAAGAGCCTCGTCGATGTCCATGACACGCAAGCGACTCTGGAACCTCATGGGACTTAGGAAGTAGAGCTTCGGGCTCCTTTTAAGGGTACTAGTAAGGGGGATCTATGGGGTTTAGGGTTTATGGGATCCCTGTTCAGGGGTTTAGAGGTTAGGGCTCCTTCTAAGGGTACTATATGGTTCTATAATGAGGTTCTCTAAAGGGTTCTATAATGGGCGGTATGGGACTTAGTAAGTATGCTTATAAGTACCTTAACTGAGTTCCGTTTGTCCAAACCCTGAACCCCAAATGCTCAGAAGAACTCCAACTTAGAGGCCTTAAGAATTTCAGCAGGATTTTGAGATTTAGTTGACTACAAACAAGTTAAGGGACCGTAAGAAATAAATGCAACTTCGGCGCTCGGCATCCTTCCTCGCTCCTTCTATGAGCCTCAAGCACCCAAGGTGCAGGACTCGAGGAACTTCACAGCTTGGCAATGGCTGCCTGTTTTAGTGAAGTGAGTGATATAGGGGCCTTAAGAAATAGAATAGGGTTTTGGTGCATGTTGCACTGTACAAAAACCCCCAAAATAGTACTGGTCGCAGGTAATTATTTAGGCCCCTATCTTAATCATCACGCCGCAGAAACTGGAACATCAAGAAGAGCTTGGCAGCTGGGGCGGAAGGGGAAACTAAACCAGGCCCTCTGTCCCGATAAATGATACACATGGAGGATTCTTGTTGGAGACCACAAAAAGTACTGACTATAGTAGACTATAACATACTATACTATAGTATACTATAGTCTGCCATACTATACCACAACGTACGATAACGGAGTATAATATACTATAAAAGCAGACCAAAATCCCAAACAGCTGAGCCCTGTTGCACCGCAACGACCCAAAAGCCAAAGTCCCACGCCCCGCCCCCGTTAACTCGAAGCCAAGCTAACTCGTCCGCAAGATCTTCAAGCGAAGCCTCTTCCGGTTTAGGGTTTAGAGGTATTCCGGTCTGGGGCCTCGGGTTCAAGGGGTTTCTAGGGCTAAAAACTGCAGAAAGCCCACCCAATTCAGGCAGGACAGTGAACCCAGAACCACCACACAACTTTCCGACTTCCCCAGGCAGGGCGCTGTTCCAGTGACAACTGGCCGCTTCCCTCCTTGTCTATTCCTCGGGTGCGGGCCAGATGGGTTTCTGTAACAAACAGCTAAGCAAAAGCTGCAGTCCTTAAAGGGCTTTTTAAGGGATCTATAGTAGGCTTCTATAATAATATGGTATCCTTAACAATTAGAATAGGGTTTTGGGCGTATCATCCCGTAAGCTAAAAGACTTAGGACATGATGATACGGGACGGGTTTAGGGGTTAGGGGTTTAGGGTTTAGAGATCTTATTGCTCAAGGGTTCCGACATCTTGAAGCACATCGCTTCAGCCTCCAGGCGCGGGTGAGGCATCACGTGCCCGTGATGTACGCAGACCGCACAGTTCTTAAGGGAACGAAATCGGAGGTTGTCGAGGTTCTACTCCGAGACATGGCCGGTTTTTATGTACCCCGGAGACACGAGTAACTAATGGGGACGCCTAACACGCACAGATGATCAGCTCGCTCTTGAATGCAGACATCAGCGGCTGTTGAACATCTTTTCCAAAAACTTCTTGTCAGCTTCAACATCCTGCTCCATCTCCTTGCGGACACGGTTTAGGGAATAGGGTTCGGAGCTCTGGTTTCAGGATCTAGGGTATATAGGGCTCAGTGCAGCAAGTAGATTGAAACATGAGCTCGGGATCCTGGACCTTAGATTTAAATCTGAGAGTTCTTCTTAGAGCCCTGGTATGGGTTCCGCGGGGTGGGGTTCGGTTTAGGGTTTCGACCTTCCCCGGCGGGCAAAGTCCTATAATCCTAAAATATTGAATCCATATAGTATGAAGAACCCAAATAAAAAACATAAGGTTCCTTAGTTAAACCGGCTCCTATATCAATCCCGGCAACTGAAACCACACGACCCTCAAAACACAAGCCCGGCTTCCCAAACTCTCGAGCCCTGAGAAACCCCGAGACCCCAAACCCACAAACACCAAGCCCCAGAAGTGAAATGTCGGGGCCTTACAATAAAAATATAGTATACTATAGTTGCTATAGTTATAATAAGGAAGCCCCAAACCCTATTCTAGTTATTATGGTCCCTACATTACTACCCTGAACCTCCGAAACTGCAGACCTCTGCCAGATTCAGGATATCCCGATCGCGCGCGTCTGCAAAGGTATCGACGACAACCTTTGTTGCCAGCGAATTCTCAACCCCCACCCCCGGCAAAAGCAATTTAAAGAGGCTTTGTAAACAGTTCTCGACTCCCCTAATCGAGCCAGGATTCTTTTTGAGGGAACCTAGTTTAAAAACTAACGAATTTCATTAAAAACCGATAAAGATTTTAATAAAAAACAATTGTAGTCTTATTTCCTCAAGAAGCGAGTTTTCATCAAAAACCGAAAAGATTTTAAAACCGCTGCGAATTCAAATGTTCTTCAACGAAAATCTACCCATTACCCAGAAACTTGGGCGATCTTTAAAACCTCAGGGTGGGGGTGGGGGGTGTAGGTTGGCCGATGACTTTGAGTTTCAGGGGATTCTGGCTGCAAAACTGTCAGACGCGCTGTGTATAAGGTCTGTGAAGGGTTACAGGGCGCTGTAGGGTTGTTAAGGGCTCTTGGGTGTGCTTTGGGGGCGTTGAGGTTCATACGCCGGGTTCGGGCTTTAAGGTTCAAGGTTTGGGGCACAGTCTTAAGGGCTCAAGGGTCTTCTATGCTGGGGGGCTTCATTTCGACGTTAAGAAGGCCCAACCCAGGCACCTGAAGGCAAGAGCACGGATCCAGGGCCCACGTGAAGATGAACCCGCAAGCCCGCACCCAAGCTCCCGAACTCGACAACAAAACCCTTACACCCCTACTTAGAGGATCATGGGACTTAGTAAGTATGGTTATAAGTACCTCAATTGGGGTTATATGTATCCATAAGTATAGTTACCTTGAAAAAACTCTAGTTACTAAGTCCCATGATCCTCCAAGTAAACCCTAAACCCTTCCTCCCTTAGGGACGATCATATGGGACCTTGAAGTAGGCTCTGGGACTGATGCATAAGACCATCCAAAGCCAAATCACAAGCCAGCTTGGAGCCCGAGACCCCGAACTCTACATCTTCAGTCAGAGAATCCGCGACGATGAGGTTCAGAACCCCAAACACCAGTGTCAACAGGGAGCCGACCTTGCGACATCGGATCTGCAGTGGTTTTTGGACCTATGGGCTTAGGTTTGGGCGTTGGCCCTAGTGGCTAATATTGTCTGATGCTTGCGGCTCTGCGACCTTCATTTATTAAGGGCACGAGCCTTCTCTCCGAACAACTGCTCTTATGAGCGACACCAGTTTTGTCGCTACTACTGCTGTCAAAGAAGAATCGCCAGTGGCTAGGCATTTCGTGCGATGAAAGATTTCGAGCTCCCACATCAAAGACCCACCCAGTTCAGACAGGTACTCCCAACTTGTCACCCTTCCTTAGAACAAGAGCCACACTTTTTTGCTGTCAGAGAAATAGTTCTGCACCCTTCGACAGGAGGAGGCATCGCGTTCAGGACATCGAAGGCACTGCGCAGGAGTTCGGGGCCACATGGACTGGGATGAGACGCTTGCCCGTCAAACGACTCAGAAACCCGAAATTTAGCAACATGTCGAATCTTGCATGTGCCGTATACATATGATGTCGACGCATTCATATATATATATATATACATACATATATACATACATAAATACATATATATATATATACATATATATATATAGTGTGTGTGTGTGTGTGTATGCGTGCGTGCGGCGTATCTATGTAGAAAGAACACAGCAAAACAACCCCAAAGAAGGCACTTAACGACTGTCTTAATGGATGTAATCAGACAGATCCCGAACAGATGCCAAGCTCAGACGAGCTGCGAAGATGATGGCTGTCGCTGGGTAAGCCTTCGATGTGTCTTCTTCACACACAAAAAAAGATATTGCGGCGAGAACGAATGAGAGAGAGTCTGGAGAGACGGAGAAAGAGAACGAGAAAGAGAGAGAGAGAGAGAGAGAGAGAGAGAAAGAGAGACAAAGAGAATGAAAGGAAAAGACGACAGGGAAAGGAGACAAAGCGAAAAGAGCAAGCAAAATTCAGAGAGAAAAAGATAAAGAATAAGAGAAACAGGTCGGAGAGATCGCTGGCTTTGATTTCACTGTGCAGGCTTGCTGCCAGCATGGTACAGACGCCCGAATTATTGTCAATACTTGTCCTTACGGCTCCTCAAGACAACCCCTAAACCCTAAACTTAACCATCCTAAAGCATACCCCCAAACCCCGCTCGAATCATAAAGCCCCTGCAGTACCCTATACAGGAACCTTTTTCAAATTCTGAAGGCCCTCAAAACCTTGTAAACCCTCCAAAATCCGTCATAGAAGCCCTCCTCATAATTCTTCATCTATATGGTTTAGGGTTTAGGGTTTAGGGTTTAGGGTTTAGGGGGGGAGTTTAGATTTAGGGTTCGGGGTGAGGTATTTAGGGCTTGGCATTGAGGGCTGAAGTCTTCGTAGTCAAAACTCAAGCGATCGACCTTGACCCGTGGATGGTTTCCGGGGTGAGTTCCGGTTACTGATGTAGGGTTTAGGGTTGAGGGTTTAGGGTTTAACGGTTTAGGGTTTAACGGTTGAGGGTTTAGCGTTTAGGGCTTAACGGTTTAGGGCTTCAGGTTTAGGAACCCTAAACCCTGAACCCTAAACCCGGTTACTCGAGTATACGCCTTCCTGCATGGAGCTCAGAAGAAGAACCTTTAGGTTTTACTTGGGGGCTTCGGGTTTAGGGAAGGCTTTTGATGCGATAAGGGGCAAACATGATGAAGTTTTTCCGCTCGGGGATGAATGCGATGGAGTTGATGAAGTGGAACTGTTCGGGGGGGGGTCTTTATATGACGGGCATCAGGTTCAGGCTTACGCTGTAGATTAAAAACCCATAGTGCAGCCAAGCGCTGTGATCACCGGCACTGCAATCTGGCCCCAGCTGTCCCCTGCAATGACCTGTTTTTTTTTTGGCTGCTGGCTTTGTGGCATCCACCTAAATCCGAAACCCCAAAACCTCGGCGGGTTTCGGGTTCAATGGTGCACAAAGACATAAGACAGCCGAAGACAGCTTGCCGAGAATGGCCCCAGACTGAGCGTGCAGTAGGAAGAGCAAAGCATACCCCCAGAGACTCCAATATCCCTTAATTAAGGAATATTCCTTAAATTATATTAGGATCCCTTGTATGATTTAAGGAATATTCCTTAATTAAGGGATATTGGAGTCTCTGGGCCCAATGAGCCTGCTACCGAAGTCTCCCTGCAGCACTCAACACGAAAGGCACTTGCAACTGCAAACCCTTCACTCGCCTTCCGACACTAGAAAGGATTCGGACAGTACCCACACGAAGCACAGCCGAGAAACTCTGGTCAAGCGCCGTGCTTAATGAAAGTACATTCAAACCAGAATTCCAATGTACCGCTTTGGGATTCGGGCTTTAGGGTGTAAAGCACAAGGTGTTTGGTTTGGGCATCCACAGCTGAGCGGCTGTTTTGAACAGCAGCAGGTTTGCCAGCATTACGGACGACATAGCATCCACGCAGTCAGCGCAATCGCCGAATTGGCCTCCCGAGGGCGGATTAGCGAGCACAAGGCTAGCTTAAACAGGCTCAGCGCTTGGGACGCAAGGCGCTACGGATTCCTGTAAGGCTTCCGGCGCTCATCCGCTAGTCGGGAAAGCTACTTGAGGGAAGCTTGACTGGTAAGCAACCAGCAGCTGTGCACGAAATCTGCTAGTCCTCCTACAACGATTCCTGTGCTCCAGGCCATGACAAGACCGCAAGCCGGCATCGTGGCGTTCTTGGGTGTTGGGTTGGGCACTTCGGTGTCACGAGGCAAGCGGGACAAGGGGCGTGTGAGGGGCTGTGCAACAGAGGCACTTAAAGGATCTGGGGACTTAGTACCTAGATTTATTCTGTTATAGCTAGACTTACAGTTACTTGTATCCCGAAGTAAGGTACTTATCACTGTACATACTAATGACTAAGTCCCATGACTCCCATGATCCTTGACGCAGTGAGCTGCATTCAGAAACCGAGAGCCTGCTTCAAGCCAGCCTGCAGAACTCTCACTGACATTTACACATGCAGGAGCCCCGACAGAGCGTGCGATACAAATGTTAGCGCCAGAGGAGAAGGCTGATTCTCCAAGTATGGGGCGGACTCTAAAAAGCAGCAGCAGCAGCAGCAGCAGTGGCAGCAGTGGCAGCAGTGGCAGCAGCAGGAGGAGGAGCAGCAGCAGCTGCTGCTGAGGTATCAACTCTCTCGGTTGTTATGTTTACTACTACGTTGCATTGCACGATTTGGTGCGTTTAAACTTGCCCCGCTGGATTGAGAGATGCCCTGGACCCTGACCCGAAACCCTTGCTTGGGATCTGAATCACATCCCAATCCACTCCGCGGCCTGGGCCCATTTGATTCACTAGGGGCTGGACTAATTCCTGCAGCCGGCAGCTCAGCCAGGGAGTAGGATTTTGGATTCCGGGCGCATTGTGGGGTGTAGGACTGAGGGTCTGGGTCGAGGGATGGGACTTTCGCATAAAGAGAGTAGGATGCAGCTGGGTGTGGGCATATGGATGAGTGAGGAGGTCATGGTTTACGGCTTGGCAAAAGGGAGAAGCTAGGAATCCTAGGATTGCGGGCTTTGGGCCGTCAAGGGTTCTGGCTCTCAGACTGAGGGTTCTGCCTTTAGAAATCGCATGGCAACTTCAGCGTTGAAGCTTCGGGAATTCCAGCAGCTCCTGCCCTGCCCCGTAGCAGCTAAAGCCTCCATTTATAGCCCCGCCTACTTGGAGGATCATGGGACTTAGTAAGTATGGTTAGAAGTCAATTGGGTTAATATGTAATCATAAGTATAGTAATCTTAATAATAAACCTAGCTGCTAAGTCCCATGATCCTTTCAGTACCTGGTCCTACCTCCTTGCTGGGGAAACTCCGGAAACTCTAAGGCCAAACCCTAAACCCTGCACCCCAAACCCTCAACCCACATCTTGATCCGGCAACCCCAAACGCCCCAAGTCTCAATGTCCTAGGATTCAGGCGTCATGTACCCTAAACCCTAAACCCTAGTCATGCATGTTTTGGAGTGGCCTAGGATTTCGGCAGAGGCACTACCATTAACATGGCCCAGATCGTCATGATGACGAAACCTTGGCTTGGTTTAGGGTTTAAGGTTTGGGGTTTAGGGTTTAGGGCTTAGGGTTTAGGGTTTAGGGCTTGGGGTTTAAGGCTTAGGGTTTAGGGCTTAGGTTTAAGGTTTAGGGTTTAGGGCTTAGGGTTTAGGGCTTGGGGCTTAAGGTTTAGGGTTTAGGGCTTAGGGTTTAGGGCTTAGGGCTTAAGGTTTAGGGCCTAGGGTTTGGGGCTTAGGGCTTAAGGTTCAGAGCTTAGGGCTTAGGGTTTAGGGTTTAGGTTTTAGGGCACACGGGTGCTTTAAAGAGCTGCCCCCCGTGGGAGTCCCAAAGCCGCCCGGGCGAGGACTGAACAGAAAGGCGTGGGTTTAGGGTTGTGGGGTTTAGGGGCTTAGGGGTTTAGGGCTTTAGGGGTTGAGGGTTTGGGGTTTAGGGGTTAGGGGTTGAGGGTTTAGGGTTTAGGGTTCAAGTGGTCATGTAGGTCCCTGAAGCAGCAAACACCGCACTGAAGTGAGAGACGGAGAGGGGCCAAAACAGTCGAAGCATGTCACTGCTGCAGGCAATTCCACTTCGACGCGCTCTCACTTCGCTTCCAAACACTATCAGTATCGGAATCAAAGAGGGGTGCAAGAAAGCATCACTACAGAAGCCCTTACGCTGCAGGCCGAGGAGCAGAAGACGAAGGACCAAAGTAAAGCTTTAAGGCAGGTGGACATCATGATGACCTGAACGATGTCTCACAGCACGGTTTTTTGTGGGATCCAAGGAAAAGGGATTAAAGGTTTGGGCTCCGGGCAGGTGCCACAAACTACTAAAGCGGCCTTAATAAATAGAATAGGGTTTTGGGGCCCACTATACTTATAATAAGGCACCTCCAACATAGTAGAGGTAATTATTTAAGCCGCTATGTTATCTTGGAGACCTCCGTCAGCTGTAGATCTTTCCCAGGGTTCCCTAAACCTCAATGAGAGTCGATAAGACAGCCAAGAGTGCCGTAAACTAGATATGATGTGATGAAACACCCGTACGTATCCAGAAATTGCCCCCAACCGAAATTAGAAACCCCGCTGAAGCCGAACTAAAACTCTCAACCAGCACCCATACCCAAAGCCCTGCAAGCCCATACACAGTACAGCCGCGAAAAAAAATTACCGAACATAGCCCCCCTCCCCGCCCGCAAGACCGTTATGTAACATCCGTGCGCAAGGCTTGTAAAACCAATCTTTCTGAAACCTTCAACAAAACTTTCAAAGTCCCTTTAAACCTTCGAAATCCTGTAAAGCCCTTACAAACCCGTAAAAGGCCGTTACAAAAACCTTCCAAAACCCTACAAAACCTATGGAACCAGGAAAAAGCTTATCAAGCCCCTAAACCCTAACCCTTAAGAAACCTAAACCCTAACCCCTAAGCCCTAAATGACCCCTAAGCCCTAAGCCCTAAACCCTAAACCCTAAGCCCTAAACCCTAAACTCTAAGCCCTAAGCCCTAAACCCTAAACCCTAAGCCCTAAACCCTAAACCCTAAGCCCTAAGCCCTAAGCCCTAAACCCTAAACCCTAAGCCCTAAACCCTAAACCCTAAGCCCTAAACCCTAAACCCTAAACCCTAAGCCCTAGACCCCCTAAACCCTAAACCCTAAGCCTAGACGGAAGACCTGAAGCCCAAGGCAAGCCACGAGCTTCTGGAGCTCTCGGAGGGCTCGGGTCCTCCTGAGCAGTCCTTGTGGAGGGAGGGATTAGGGAGGGCTGAGCGGCTCTTGGGGGGAGGGGGAGGGGTGGGTTTAAAGTTTCGGGGAGGGCTTGTGGGTTTAGAGTTTGAGGTTTAGGGTTTAAGAATTTTTTAGGGCTTAGGGTGGTGGGGGTTTAGGGATTAGGGGTTTAAGGGTTAGGGGTTTGGGGGTTGGGTTTGCGGGCCTTGTGGGTTTAGGGAAGGGTTTAGGGTTTTGGGGCTTAGGGCTTTCGGGGTTTGGGATTCAGGGTTTAGGGGTTTGGGGATTAGGGTTTCGGGTTTAGGGGCTGGGGTATCTGAGGGTGTGGGAGCTTAGGGTTCAGGCTTCACGAATCAAGGCTGCAGGGGGGTTGTTGTCGTGGCGGGTTTAGGAGGGGCTCACGGCTTTCATGGTTGCCATGATACGGGCATTGTCAAAGAAATGGACAGAGTCGAGAGTTTTGACTGTAAGAGACAGTCAGGGCTCGAGATCAGGAGAGCTTTCCGTTACTTCCGTGACACGATATCCCTCCCATGAGACCACAGAGAGAGCTCTTGGGGTGATGTGTTGATGCAAGGCGGTGGAGCCATCATGTCATACCTCGAAAGCATGTCGGGCGATCCCTTCGATATGATATACCCTAAACCCTAAACCCTTAACCCTAAACCCTTAACCCTAAACCCTTAACCCTAAATCCTTAACCCCAAACCCTCGGCCCGTAGATGCGGCGCTTCAGGGCTTGGGAAGGGTTTTCAGGGCCCCTGGCTGAGAAACCTCCAGCCCCCAAGCCCTAGCCATAGGCCCCTGATATAAGGGCCTCAATATTAAGAATGAGTTTTCGGTATGTTCACCTATATGTTTGATATATATATATATATATGTATATATGTATTGTAGTATAAACAGGAAAAGCGGAACCCTCAGGAATATTATTGGTACTTCTTCCAACTTCAACGGTGCCCCGAGCCCTAAACCCAAACCCCGGAGCGCTAAGCCCCGAGCTCCTCAGCTCAAAGCCCAAGTTCATGGGACTGAGTAACTAGGGTTACTGTTGATGGACAAAATCCTGCATTACTTTCATGATAAGGAATATACCATAGTTCCCATAGTTTCGGGTCCTTAGGGTCATGCAGGATTTTGTCCATCAACAGTATGAGTAGGGTATCTGTACTTATCGCTGCTTATAACTAGGATTCCTACTAGGGTAACTGTACTTCTAGCTACTTCAAAAGGCCAGTTAAGGTACTTATAACCATGAATACTAAGTCCCTCCAGTTACTTCGAAAGGCCAGCTGAGGTATTTATAACCATACTTACTAAGTCCCATGATCCTTTGAGTGTTGCCGAGCATCTCAGCAGCCGTATGATACGAACCAGCCGCAAGACACGGAGCACGCCTCCAAACCCGAAACCCTGGGCCCTAGCCCCCAGAATCCTACGTCACGAGGTGACCTTCCAGCATTCTGCTGGATTCGGGGGAGGGGGGGGGGAATGAAAGGCTCCAGGTTTCGGATTTCTTAGAGCTCCTGCGGAAGATATGCATCTTGTCTTACCAGCACAACTATTTTCCACAAGTCCTGTCCATACTACGTGATGCAACCAGCATCTGCGACACACAGTGACAGGCCTGGATGTTTCTCTCTGAGGTAGGTTCGACAGGCGACAGGAAAGGTTCGTGTGCTTCGTGATAAGAGATGCTGCGATGGCTTATACGCCCTGCTTGATACGGCGGCTAGATTTCAAAGCCTTTGAAGTGCAACTTACTAAGCTTTGTGCCCAGAGTCTCCAATCTCCCTTAATTAAAGTTTATGCTTTAAATTGTAGGATCCCTAATGTGATTTAAAGTACTTTCCTTCATTAAGGGCTATTGGAGTCTCTGGCTGGGAGCTCCATTTCATGCCTTCTCTCAGATGTGACCTCGGCTGCTAGTTGCGCTAAGCCCATCTGGCTGCGGTCTCCTAAGCCCTACAACAAACACACACCCCAAACCGTGCTCTTATACGTTCCTTGCAGTACTTTTACATAACCCTCACAGTACCTTTTGAAGCCTTGCTCTACCCTTATGGTACCCTGACAATACCCTGATCGTAACCTTATAAGCTTGCCGAGGCCACCAACGCTGCTGAAGGCATTGCCCGGGTCTGCAGCACTGAGGATTAGCTCCTGATCACAGGTAGTACTACAAGGCTAAGCTGACTAGGAGGTGTACAACAAGCTTAATAGAACTACTACAAGGTTAAGGTTGCTGTAAGGTTCCTGTAAGGTCACGACAAGGTGACTGCGGCTAGTATACAGGATCCTCAAAGGGTACCCTAGGCCCTAGGTTGGTATGTAGCAGAAGGTAGGTTTCAATTTGTGATAATTTTTAAAGATGCCGTGATTCGAAGGATTGGAGTGCTGGTCAAGTAGACTGCTCTTCAACGCCTCACGACTTGCTTGTTGGAGGTAGGAAGTCAACTCGGGTACTGGAACAAGCTCCAAGCCCAAAATTCGGGCGACGAGGAAGCTAAAGCCCCCAAGTTCTGCCGAAGATCGGTGTAGCCACAGATGACCACAAAAAGATCTAGCCTGGCTGCCGGGAGCATACTGGAGCTCTGCAGTTGCTTGGGATACACAGATTTCACGATTCTTTTTTGGAGGGTGTAAGGTGGCTCAGAGTTGTGAGTTTCGGCACAGCGATTCCATGTCCTAAACTCCAATCCCTTCCTTTCGGCAGTCTTGTGTGTCCTTCGTGGTTACGAGTTTGCGATTGCAGAGTAGCTCTCTCGTGGCACCCTACTATCCTGCAAAGCCCTTTCAAGTGGGGCCATCAAGATCCACCCCACCACCACCACATCACGACAACGACGGCTCACCTGGGGCCTACTGCTGCTGTAGGGATTCGACACTCGGTGCTCGGACATGCCGTTCAAAAGGTGTTGACTGCAAAGGGCAGAGGGCTGGGAAACTCCCGCCGAAACTGCTGTAGAAACTCGGAAAATCAGGACCGATGCGCGCGATGAGGTGTCACAACCGTCTTTACTATGGAAGTGACGATGCAAAACGCCCTCGCAACAACATCAGTATTGGCAGAAAAAAGAATATTTCTGCTCATGGTAAGACAACAGAAGCCAATGACACAATAGCAATTGCAAGCTTAATCTGAACTTCCGAGCTTACAAGCCAAACACATCGACCTGAAGTCTAACACCCCTCAACCCTAAACCCCCTAACCCCTAAACCCTAAACCCTAAACCCCTACAACCCCAATGTAGCAACCCAAAAGTCTCATCTGCCAAGCATATCAAAAGATCGCCAACCTTCAAACCCGAAAGCCCAAACCCTTAAGGTTACCATAAGGGCACTACAAGGCTACTGTCATGCTGCTATAGGGCCGGTGAGTACTTAGTATCGGGAAGGCTTAGGGTTCGTAGATAGTTTAGCTAGATGGGTGCAGAAACCGCAAGGCAATGAAGCATGCCAAGCAGCAGAACAAAGCCATCCTTAAAGTAGCCTTTGCCCTGGCTTGCACAGACATGATTGGACGGGCCCCTCGCTTCGAGTTCGCAGGCGTTGAACGATGCACATCTTTAAACCTAATATAGGAGCCTAAATAATTGGAATAGGGTTTGCCTATGTTGTAGTACAAGAATAATGACAAGCCCCTACTATAAGCCTAAAATCCTAAACTCTAAACTGGCTTGGTGGTTGGTCCAGACCCTAACGTCTAGACCCTTAATGCTCAAATCCCCAACTCTAAACCCCTGCTTGGACTTTAGGATCTAGAGGCTAGGGTTGTTCAAGAGTTCCTTTAGAGGGATCTATAAGGGTTCTATAAGAGTTCAGTTTAAAGGGATCTATAATAGGGTAGAAACGGGCAAATCACTCTGTAACTCGCCACAGGCAGCCCGGGCTGTCTTCGGCATTACCACGATGATGAGCAGCGGCTCAGCGTTTAGGATTTAGGCTTTAGAGTGTAGTACTGTAGGGCTTCAGGGATTGATTCTGTTTTTTCTGCTGGGGTTGAGAAGAAGAGATATGCAGTCGTGATGTCAGGTCGGGTTTCCTCTGGTCACCAGCCTCGCCCCAGGCTTCCGAACATCTCGAATTCTGCCTTTGTAGACTCCACAACACATGAATCCCAGAATGCACCGAAAGCTCATCGATGGCACAGCTACGGGAAAAGCGGCGAATGCATCTCCAATCACATGCCCCAAACCCCTCTCCTTCAAGTCACCATATGTCGACTATGCTCTTGGGTGTAATATGAACAGAAATACAAAAGCTAATTCCTAAGGAGACAAGAGGGTTTAGGGATTTTGGTTTTTTAGAACCATAGCAGAATGATATATGAACCAAAAATTCCGAAGGAGACTATAGAAACCCTAACCCCTAAGCCCCTAAGCCACTAAACCGCTAAATCCTAAACCCTAGGCCCCTAAGGAGGCTACTACGGTTGATGATATAAACCCTGCATTACCTCAAGGACCCGAAACTATGGAAATTATGGTATATTCCTTCTCATGGGTAATGCAGGATTCATATCGTCAACCGTAGAAAGTATGGTTATAAGTACCTTGACTAGGATGCCCGGTAGTACCCTTATTCCCTTTTTGTAGTCATATCATCAACAGTAGGGAAGGTCCTTGAGGATGCCCATGACAACCAGCTCCACAGTGTAGAGCACCAGGCAGGTGTTGGAGATGACGACGATGGCTCAGGGGCGGCTTAGGCTTTCAGGTGCTTAGGCTTGAGGGTTTAGGGTTTAAGGTTTAGGGTTCAGGGCTTAAGGGGTTTAGGGGTTTAGGGTTTAGGGGTTTAGGGGTTAAGGGGTTTAGGCTTTCAGGTGTTTTTGCTTGAGGGTTTAAGGCTTTGAGACTTAGGGTTATGGCAGCTGAGGGCGTTCTTCGTCCAGGCTTGGGGGTTTTGCTTTAGGCTTGGGAGCCAACAACCCACTAGCCTACAGAACAAAGCTACTGGGCCTCCCGTGACCCTGTACAAACCTCCAGGAAGCCTTATTTCCTCAATCTCCCACATACCACATAGGACCTGCATGCCTAAACCCTGAACCCTAAAATTAAAAACCCCTAAGCCCCCTAAGCCCTAAAAACCCTAAAGACCTTAAAGACCCCAAAGACCCTAAACACCCCAAAGACCCTGAAACGCCTAAAATCCCGAAAAATCCTAAAGACCCCAAAGACCCTAGGAACCGTAGGAACCCCTAAACCCCTAAACATACCTCAGTTACTGCGCTTCCCCCCAGGGGTCCTGTGTCCGCCGTGCTCCCCTCAGCCCGTGCATCGATATCCGCACAGTTGCAGTATGCGTCAATGAGGACGATGACCGCCTGGGGTGCAAAACAAGGGGGGCCTTAGGTATGGAGGACGGGGTTCCTTTAAATATAAGGGTTACTATGATGAGGACGATGACAGCCTAAGGTGGAAAAAAGGGGATAGGGTTCCTTTGAAGGGTCGACAAGGGTTACCATAAGGGATCTATAAGGATGCTGCAAAGAAGTGCCCTCAATTGGAACAAGGTTTTGGGAATACTATGTTATAATAGCATAAGGAGTCCTAACATAGAAGTGGTAGTTATTTAAGCTCCCATATTAAGGCAGACCTACACATTGGCGTTTGGGGACTTTGGTGATTAGACTTTTGAGCTTCTGCCGTTTGAGCTCTGAAGAATCTCTGCAATTGGAAGGCTGGTGAAAGACATGCGGGAGTTTCCGAAAATTAAATATTATGAGAGGAACTGAAAGTTCACGGGTCCGTGGAAAACCCGATATGCGTGCAAGCTCAAGCCTTGAAACTAGAAGAGCTCTTAGCTCCTGATCAGAGGGGGTATAGTATAGGCTTTATGTAGGGTTTAGGGTTTGGGGTTTGTAGTTTATAGGGTTTGGGGTTTGGGGTTTAGGGTTTGGGGTTTGGGGTTTATAGGGTTCGGGGTATGGGGTTTGGGGTTTAGGGTTTAGAGTTTGGGCTTTGGGGTTTGGGGTTTAGGGTTTGGGGTTAGGTTTGGGGTTTAGGGTTTAATGAGATGGGGTAGTTAAAGGATCATGGGACTTAGAAAGTAAGGTTATTATTGGGGTAACTATACTTATAATCACTTACAACTCCACTTAAGATACTTCAAACCATATTTACTAAGTCCCATGATCCTCCAAGTAGTATTATGAGCTCAAGTCTAGGTTGATGTGATGTTACTATCAACATCTTTTTAGGATACTATAAGGTTACCATCCGGTGCCGGGATACTCTCAGATTACTCTGGGGGCAGGCTTGTGGATTGTTTTTGTGCCGGTCCAGTAGCAGGTATACGTTCTAGCACGAGATCTCCATTCGCAGCTGATGCGTTTTGGGTTTAATATCGGGGCCTAAATAATCACCTATACTATTTTGGGGTTACCTTTTTTATAACTATAGTATACTAAACCCCAAACCCTGTTCTAATTTTTTTCAGGCTTAAGTTTAGGGCTAGGGTTCAAGAGTTTTGGCTTGGGGGATCTTCGCCTGGGGGGATTATAAGGAACTCCAGAAAGTTGGAATATGGTTTCAGGGTAGGATACCTTATAATTTACCATAAAGGGTTGAGGATAATCATATTCCAACTTTCTGGCTTTTACTTTAGAACTGACGTTCTGGGCTGTGGCGGCTATTCTGGACCTGAGCTGTTGGGGTTTTGAAGTATGAAGCGGTGCTCATGGACATCTGAGGTCCTACTGTTGATGGACAAAATCCTGCATGACCCTAAGGACTATAAACTATGGGAACTATGGTCTGTTCCTTTTCATGGGTAATGCAGCATTTTGTCCATCAACAGTACGACCTACGATCATCCGGAGCTATGAAATGCTTCCAACAACCGCGAGGCCTCACCAAAAGGATCATGACACTGGGGTGCGGGGTTGCGGCTTAGCGTCTAGATGGAAGACTATGTGGTGAAGAATTTGGTCTAGCATGTGGGCTTATGGACCTGTTCTCTCCAAGCTGCCATGAGGTGCATCACGTGCTTGCCTTGGATAGAATCCGCACCCAGGTGATTCTGAAATTCTCGCACGACACAAGTCTTAAGGAACCCTGGGCCCACCGAACTGCAGAACCTCATTGGAAAGTTCTGCCGCAGCTATGCATGATGTGTTGCTACTTCATCCCGACCTGGCAGCTTTAGACAGCATGCTCAGAAAGATGTATTCAACATTTCTTCGAACGACCCTGCTGCAGGGGAAACACACAGTCAAGTGCTTCCACAGATGTGTTGAATGATGGCGCGATTGCAACATAACAGACTTTGGACTGTTGCACCTCGCCACTCACCCTGCTGTAATGGCGACACCGTTCTGTATGTGGCGATGGGGGGTTTCCGAAAATAGGGGACCCTAATATAGTAACCTAAATAGTAGGATCCATCATAATGGTCCTCAAAATAAGGTACCCCGAATTTTCGGACACTCCCATGTTAATAGCTCTACCGGCACACTCTTCAGACGCTTCCAACCGTCGCTGGACGCGTCAGGAAGCCGATCCTAAACCTTAGGCCGTAAGCCTTCACACCTAATATTCGCCTCGGCCCCGGCCGAAGCGGTCAGAGGTTCCTATTCGGATTCTCCTATTCCCCACCTCTTAATCCCCTCCCCAGTGACCCCACCCCCAAAATCCTGGCCACCCCCCTAAAAAATGGAAACGTGTCGATGAGCCCCAAGGTCCGGCGGTGAATTTTCGCCTTCTCCAGTGGATTTTGGCTTTCTGTAGGCAGTCCCACCCAATTTTCTTCGCTTCCTCCCCCCCCCTCCCCCCCTTCCCTCCGGACCCTCCTCCGCTCGCTGACAGGTGCGAGCTTTCTGGAGTTTTCGACTGCGTCTCAGGCTTGTTTTAGACGCCCTTTCGTTGGGATAGGCGGTGTAACGTGGTTGAAAAGGCTGTGATGCTTCCCTAATCCAAGACGCTCACGAAATCCACAGCCTCAACGGCCCATACTTAAGGCATCCCGCCGCTTGCGAGAGTCTTGGTATTGTTTCGGAATGACGACACCAAAATTCGTACTGATACTACCACTACTAATACTACTCACAATCATCCTGCTTCGTGTTGCTATGAACATTACTTTTACTATAAGTGCGATTCCAACTGTTACTTTTTTTCCTACAAGAGCTTGCTGCAGATAGTAGCCACTCGCCGCATGCGCGTACAGCCGGGCCGAGGCGGACGACGCGCAGCGTTTCAAATAGAGGCCTGAATAATGAGAATAGGGTTTTGGTGCCCATTTTACTATAATTATGATAAGGAACCCCAAGATAGTATTGGTACAGATTCAGGCCCTGATACTGTAGTACCCTTGTAGATCCCGTACAATAACCCTTATATGTGCCCGCGCTCCGCGTTCTCGACCCCCCCCCCCCCCCAATGGTATCCCCCCCCCCCCGACCCGGGCGACCACACAACAAGAACAAGAACAAGAACAAGAAGAAGAACAGCAGCAACAACAAAGCAGCAGCAACCACGCGGAGGAACCACAGGAACCACAGGGGGGGAGGGGGGAGACAGGAACCAGAAGAACCACAAAAGGGAGGGGGAAAACCAAGAGGAACCACAGGGGGGGGGGGAACCACAGGAACCACAGGGGGGGGGAGGGGGATTACCATGGGGGGGGGAGGGGGGGGGGGTGCGCGGATGCTGGCACATATAGACCCTTTGAAGGAACCCTTATAGACCCGTTTAAAGGAGCCCTAGCAACCCTATGATGGACAAGAAGCTAACCAAATTCCAAGCTCCAAAACTGTGCTGCTGAAATCAGGCGAAGTGCTGCTCATCAGAAGGGTCATCCTCCCCTGCTCTTGCCGCTTGAAAGGTAGTTTAGGGGTTAGGCTTCAAGGGTTTAGGCTTTAGGCTTTAAGGGTTAAGGGTTTCGGGTTTGGGCTTCAAGGGTATGGGGTGTTAGGGCTTAGGGTTTTGAGTTTAGAGTTTAGGGTTTAGGGGTTTGGGGTCTAGGGCGCAGCCCAAGTCATCTTTTGAATTGTACCAAAGTCACTGGGAAGGGAACCACACTCTCGGAATTCCCCTAAACTTCAGACCCTACAGCCCAAACCTAAATCCCAAGTGCAGACTCCCCGAAACCCAGAACCCTCAACGAAATCTAGTTGTTTGGGATGGGCTGGGCTTCTAAACCAAATCCCAAGCACTGATCAAGCTTCCAGGGTCTAGGAGTTCATCTGAATGATGGACTTAGTTGCTGAGTTCATAAGCCCCAAAAAGTGTACCCTTTCAGTTTTATAGGGGAGAATATTATCCCAAAAAATGTAAAGTCTATGCACTCAGCTACTAAGTGGAAGTGCGGGTTTCGGGTTCGGGTTTGGGGATCGATGTTGGGGACTCTGGATGTTCTCAAGGGGTGAGGGCCTTCTTGGGAAAGAAGCGAGTCGCCGCCGAAAGAACCAAATATAGGGGCCTTAATGCCTAGAATAGGGTGTCGGGGGGGTCCATTCTACGACAAATATAATAAGGAACCACAAACATGTATGAGTAATTATTTAGGCCCCTATGTAGGGGTTTCGCGCTTATGGTGTACCATTTTGGGACTGTGCTGGTGAACTGTCTTCCAGTCGGCTCGAAGACCTAAGCCCCACCCCCAACAATCCACAAATAAGTCTCCAAAGCACTGGATCAAAAGAGACGTTCTTCATTTCGGGGCCTGCATAATTACCTATATTATTTTCAGGGCTCCTTATTATTATAGTATAATGTACATCAAAGCCCTATTCTAAATACTAAGGCCTCTACGTTATGCAGGCCTGCGTCTAGGATTTCCTGAAGCTACGCTCGAACCACCCCGGGAACCTCCACGTAGCCGATCTCTCGCGACAACTGGAGGGAAGGCGAGGTGGAGTGAGGGGGGCTGAGGGCTCAAGGCATTGCAGGGCACAGTAGAACATGATATCAGAGCCTTAATACTTAGAATAGGGCTTCTCCTGTATTTGCCAAATCACTCATGAGTTATGCCCCGTTGTATCACCATGCACTATACCATAAGACATTCTAGTATAAGCCCTTACTTTGACTAGTCTTGCATCTGTTGTATTGGACTGCATCGTGTCATCACGTGCTGTGTTGCATCGTCATGACCATGTTGAGCTCATGCTTTCTTATCTCGTACTCCATTAGATTACACTTCGTTCCCAATTCAGGCTTTCTAGCTGTCCGTAAACCCTATAAACCCTAAACCTAGACCCCTAAACCCCCAAACCAAAACCCCTAAACCCTAAACCCACAGCCCCTAAACCCTCCCCTAAACCCTAAACCCTGAACCCTAAGCCCTGAAACCCACCCGTTCCCCTGTTGTTCAGTTACTTGCAGGATCATGGTGCTTAGTAAGTATGGCTATAAAGTACATTAACTGAGGCTATAAGCAAGTATACGTACCGTTACCTCCATGATATCCCTAGTTACTAAGTCCCATGATCCTCCAAGTAGCAACCCACACCCTAAACCCTACACCCTAAACCCTGTTATTCAGGTAGGGAGCCCCGACACGAAAAGGGAAGGCGGCTAGTTCTAGCGACGTACTCCAGGCTTTCGGTCCGGACGCTGCAAAGCCTAACCCTGCACTCTAAACCGTACACCCGAAGCTCTATATCCCAAAATCTAAACCCTAAACCCTAAACTCCAAACCCTAAACCCTAACCTCCAAACCCCCTAAACCCTGAACTCTAAACCGTGAACCTACTTCCTGCCAACCCCCTCTTTTCACAAGAATTTCAAACACTTGAGTCCGAGGCAGCTCGATGCTTCGGCCCTACGACTCCTCTGGCCACGATGCCCCAGACCCCAAGCTTCAAATCCAAGTCAAGCGGTTTCGAAACGAGGGTTTAGGGTTTAATGTTTAGGGTTTAAGGGTTTAGGGTTTGGGGTAGTGTGCTTAAGAATCAGACTAGGGTTTTAGGGTCCTTTACACAAGCAAACATATGGGAGCGATTCGGTGACACGACCACTAATCATTAATCATTCCGACCCCTCTATCAAAGCTCTTCAGGTCAATGAGCAGGACCTCAAGAGAACCTCAACTGAACCATGACCCTTCAAGCCGAGCTCGTGCCCTAAACTCTCGCCTTTAGGTTTTAGGGTTCAGGGTTGAAGGCTTAGGGTTTAGGGTCTAGGGTTTATGGCTTCGGGTTTAGGGCACATCGTAACCCTTACAGGAACCCCATTTCTCGTTAGCAGTCAAGGCTTACGGCCCAGAGCTTCGGGCAGGTAGGGATTTGGGTTTTCTTTGGGTTTAGGGTTTAGGGCGATAAAACACAATACTGCTAGTGCTAATTGTGTTTCTTGACGTGTTTGTACAAACTAGTACACCAGAGGGACTCCACTTTCAGAAAAAACATCGGCCCGAACCTCCAAGCCCTGAATCCCGAACTCTAAACCCTTTACCCCAAATCCTAAAACCCTAGATCCAAAACCCAAATACCCTGCGTGCCTCCTGGGAACCAGCCCGGATAAAGTCGCCGACCATCCGGGCACCTAGATTGCTAGGAGCCCCTGGGAGGAAACCGGAAAACGCCCGAAACCCGAGGGCTTCGGTATCATATATAGATAGTACAGATTTTATCATGTATATATATATATATATATATGTGTGTGTATATGTATATGTATACATAGAGTATGGAGGAGATAGGGAGAAAGGATGCAATAACATAGGATACAGCTTCGGGTTCGAAAGTTGGGTTCGCAAACTTCGCGTTGCGATTCTCACGCTTTTCGAGGTTCGAAGCCTGAACCATGCATACCCGTCCGGGTTTAGGGTTTTGGGTTTGGGTTTGCAAGAATGGCAAGAACGCAACCATCATCATCGTCATCATGATCATGACCATCCTTTGCCACAGCAGGAATTGTGGCATCCTGCGCGCACACACACTGTTCCGAGCAAGATTGAGGATTCGTGAATTGGCGCGCCGGCTTGTCGTAAAGCGACACCAATGTTATATGTAACGTTCATCGGACTGCAACGGCGAGGCGATTCTTGGCACCATTCGGCAATGATGACAGGACAGTGACCTCTGACATTGAGGCCGCAGCAATAGTTGCAGGCAAGATCTCACAGCAGGCTCAGACACGGTCCACAGCCAAGTTCCTAGGCCACCCTAAACCCTAAAGCCGGAATCCCAATATAGAAGCCTGAATGATTAGTATTACTGTAAAACTGTTTTGGTGGTTCTTCATTTCATTATGCGTATGCAAATTTCTGGCCCCGTATGAAACCCGAAATGCCAACCTGCACGACCGAGGAGGCTTAAAAATGCAGCCTAAACCCTAAATCCAGAACCCAAAACCCCTAAACCCTGAACCCTAAACCATAAACGCTAAACCCTAAATTGCTTCCCGGGCTCTTTGAGTTCGCGGGCGATGGTTTGAGCTGCTGCGCTCCACATTCTTGTCGCTATTATTGCCTTGCTTGGGTGTGAAATCATAGGGTTTAGGCTTTAGCCTGGGGTGGGTGTGAAATTATAGCGTTTAGGGTTTAGGTTTTTGCCTTACTTGGGTGTGAAATTTTAGGGTTTAGGGTTTAGGTTTTAGCCTTGCTTGGGTGCGAAATTATAGGGTTGAGGGTTTAGGTTTTAGCCTTGTTTGGGTATGAAATGAAATTATAGGGCTTGGGGTTTAGGTTTTAGCCTGGGGTGGTTGCGAAATTATAGGGTTTAGGGTTGAGGTTTTAGCCTTGCTTGGGGTGAAATTATGGGGTTAAGGGCTTAGGTTTTAGCCATGCTTGGGTGCGAAATTCTAGGTTTGGATATTATAGGGCTTAGGGTTTAGGTTTAAGCCTGGGGTGGGTGTGAAATTACAGGGTTGAGGGTTTAGGTTTTAGCCTTGCTTGGGTATGAAATTAGAGGGCTTAGGGTTTAGGTTTTAGCCTTGCTTGGGTGTGAAACTATAGCTGCCGGAAAGAGGATGTGGGGCATATTGTATATACCCCAAACCCTAAACCCTAAACCGTACGATAGGGACTACAAGAGGTCCATCGCTTCGTCACTTCGTTTACGGACGGGGTAGACACAATTTACGGGGTCAGTAACTGGGAACGGGTTTGACGATTTAGTACTGTAGTTACTATGGATATGACACGATAAGTCGTAGACACCATTGGTAAGTATTCCGACTCCCATATTGGCCCTGCCTTGCCCGATGGAACGTTCCCTTTGTCCCGACAATTTTGTTTCAAATTTCGGCAACCAGTGATTCAACGCCAAATCCCCCCCTGCAAGAATCCGCATGGCGTGCACGGACCTGCAACCTCGTCTGAAGCCTACAATCTTGTAGTGCCCTTAGCATGCAACTGACTCTACGAGTCCGCAACCTTAAGTGCGCAAAAGACCTGCCAAATGCCACGAAAGAGATCGGACTACCATGCGAAGCCACCAGGTGGCAAGTTGCAACACTCACAAGCAGCAACCGAAGCCAGGGTTGGCTCGCTGCAAACGAACTCAACCCACATGGTAGAGCATAGCATCACCACAAACCCGACAACCACAGAGTCCCAATTACTACACTTTCCCCAAACCCTGAACCCAAACCCTATGCTCCGAACCCTAACCCAAAAACCCTAAACGCTATGGGACATGTGGCTCTGCGCACTGTGCCACTGAGGGCTGACGGTACCATCAGAGCGGCTTTCCGATCGAGGCCTGATTCATAGGAACCCTTAAGGGGAGGGGGGTAGGGGATTATACTTCCTTACATAAGCCTTATTAGGTCCTTTTTACGGGCATTAAAGGCGTAATACTTGAAGGATCATGGACTTAGTATTTACGGTTATTATTAGAGTAACTATCCTTGTAACTACTTAAAACCCCATTTAAGCTACTTATAACCATACTTACTAAGTCCCATGATCCTCCAAGTATCTGGGACTCACACCTCCGACATGCAAGGAACTCGGAGCAAAGCAATCGGAGAGTTGGGTTTCGGGTTGAGGATTTAAGGTTTAGAGCTGAAGAAGTTGAAAGCCTTGTGGGTCTACTAGAGAGGCTTTTATAGCTAGTTGAGTTTTACGGGTATCTTGCGCGATAAGAAAAAAAAGGATATATATATATATATATATATGTATATATATAGGGATATATAGGTATTGCCGACCACTCAGACCCCACTGTAAACCGACCAAACGATGCGAAATGAGGACCTCGCCCTTCCGTGTCCGAAGCTCGCCTCTCTGTGTCCGAAGTTTCGCCAGGTGAGGGCGCCCCCATGGCTTTGATTCTGCCCACCTAAAGTGCCAAAGTCCTGCTAAAGTTCTTAAACCTCAACCTGAGGCTTCTAAGCGGGCCTAAATTCCCAAGTCCTAAGCCTCACATCCTAAAGTCCTGAGCCCCAAAACCCTGAACACCCGGTGCAGGAGCTCCGAAGATCCCAAACCTCTCACACTTCATAGCATGAGGACAGCCCCCATACCATACACAGAACTCTCCCTGAGTTTGTTCTTCACGTTTTGCTTTGCGTTTTGAAGGTTCCGGTTAGAGCTTTGGGGTTTTCGAAGATTCCTCTAAAGCCTGAGCCCTAAACCCTAAACCCTTAACCTCAAAGAGCTGCATGTTATATGTCGGTCTCTGGTCTCATGAGCAGGAGCCCAAAAGGCATCAGACCAAGAAGCGCTACGTTCTCTGAGCCGTGTTCTGGCAAGGGCATGCTTCGACTCTTTCTAGGACCCCACACATTGATTGGCTTTACTCTTTATCCTCATAAGCCTAGTAGCCAGGCATATCCAACCCCAAATCACAGGAGCGCTGTTGGCAGCAAACATTGCAAGTGCATTGCGCCCCTCCACCCTAAACCCTAAAGCTTAAACCCTATTCCGGGGCGGGGGTGCTCGTTGTTTTCAAAGCTGTTGCAGACCCTATAGTAGAACGATAAGATGATGCCCCGTCAACGTGGCCTTACAAGATGTCGCACTCTGGGTCTTGTTTCCACCCCTCGCAGCTCCATGAAGTCGACCGGCGACCCCACATGCCACCACAGCCCCAAGGCAGACTTGTGGCGGCGCATCACAAGCTGTACTGAGGACATGAGAACGCTCTGAGCATCAGAAAAACGATGTCAGGCCCAAAGCCGTAGCACAGCAGCTTCCACCAAAACACGATCTTCCTTGTCTTGCTGCACGCTGCCAACTCAAGCTCGCACACCACGGAGAACGAGAGGCTTGCGGCTTCCTTCGGCGGTCGCCGCTCCCGGCTTTACAGCGAGCTGAATAGCCAAGCAATGAAGTGCAGAGCATGCATTGCACCCCGAGCACGTGCCATGCCGCAACCCCCGATCTGCGTGAACGCGCTCTGCATCCCTGCAAGATGGTGGCCTAACAGCGACCACCCACGAACGACGCGGACCTTGACGGGTGGAATATGGTTTGGTCGGGTTACATTCGGCTGCAGCAGTAGTATAATCAGGAACACGTAGGCCCAAGGAATACTGTTCGAATTATTCCGGCCCGTATATTGAGCCCAGCAGAACCGCTTGAAAGCCAACGCTGGAATGCTCGAACCTAGCCGTGGAATCCGAAAACTCTCAAAACCCTCAGCCCTGAACTGCCGTGAACCCCATTCTTATATAAACCCCAAAACCCTAAATCCCTGAACCTCTAAGCCCCTAGACCGCTAAACCTCAAACCCCCAAACCCTCCCAAAACCTCAACCCCAAACCCTTCCAGCCACGAAACTGTAAACCTTCTCAAGCCCATCCCCAAACCCCAAGTCCCGATGCGGCCCATTTCCCGCGACTATCCCAAAATCCAACACCCTCAACCCGAAACCCTAAACCCCAACTATCCCGAAATCCAAAGCCCTTCTCGTTCGTTCTCCTTTTTTCACTCGCATCTACGATTCCCGCAGCTTCGCCTCCGCGATCAAGACCTGGCAGGCTAGTTGTTGGCTTTTTCACATTGAATATGGGGGCTTAATAATTAGAATAGGCTTTTGGGCTATATGATTCTCGAATTTTAATACGGAACCCCCAAATCAGAGCGGTTGGGGCTTGTTTGCCTGAAAGGGTGAGCCGAACCGTAGCCTGATTGGAGAGCACGCATTCATCAACAAAGTTACTTAAAGGGTCATGGGACTTAGTAGCTGTAGGGTTCCCTAAAGGGCTCCTTAAAAGGGGTCGATAAGGGCTCTACAAGAGGGGTTTTAGGGTTACTTAAAGGATCATGGGACGTAGTAACTAGATACTTGTCAGCCCAATTAATGTACTTATAACCGTACTTACAAATACTAAGTCCCATGATCCCCCAAGTAGCCACCGCCGCAAAACCGACCATGCTCAAAGCATAAAGACATTGGACAAAAATTATCTCACTCGCTGCTGCTTGCGAACACCACAGGGGCCTTCGAAGAGGATAAATCCTACAAAGCATGCAAATCTACGTGTTGAAAGATCTTCGTTGTCCTGTAAACTGGCCTAATTAAACCCGAAACCGTAAACCCAAAGCCCTGAACCCTAAGCTGGGGGATGTTCGACATCAATACTTCGCTTGTGCAGTTCGGGGCGTCTGTCGGACGTTCCCAGCTTCAGAGGCTGGCGCAGGCAGGCCGAGGCAGGCAGTGCTTGGAGGGGCAGGGGACTTAGTAAGTAGGTTAAAAGTAGGCTTATAATTGGGGGAAATCCATTTAGGGTACTTGTAACTCCACTTATAACCTACTTACTAGCTGCCCTGCCCTTCCAAGTGGGGGAGAAGTGGGGAGCGCAGGAAGGAAAGGAGGGCGGAGGGAGGGAGGGCAGAGCTGCTGAGGCCAAACGTGTTCCGGTCCGACGCAGGTGCAGCTCTTTCGCTACGGCTATTACTAAGGTAACTATACTTATAAATACTTATAAGCCCAATTAAGGTACTTCTAACCGTACTTACTAAGTCCCATGATCCTCCAAGTATGGATTGCGACACCCTTCTTTCCCCAGAGTCGGTCGGCGGCCCATGGTTTGAGTTCAGGGTCAAGGTTTCGTGTTGCAAATTGGTTGGACGTAGTTCACACTGAAACACGTCTTGGGGGCTTATAGAGTAGAAGGGGCCCTGTAATAGTGGTATAAGGTTTAGGGTTTAGGGTTTAGGGTGAAACACGTCTTCGGACGGAGAGTGTGGCATACTTGCGTGGGATGCCTTCGGCCGCTGTTTTCTTGGCACGCCGGGCCTTTCAGAATTGAGAAATCCCGAAACCAGCGCCAAGGCCGGTCTTGATTGGTCTGTCTGGAACTAGGACAAGGACCTGACATCTCAAAGATGCAGATGATCCGTACTATAGTATAGGGGCCTTAATAATTAGAATAGGGTTGTGGGGTATATTATATTCGAACTATAATAAGGAACCCCCAAATAGTGTAGGTAATTACTAAGGACTAAGACCCCCTACATTAAATCCGTTCGAAACCCTGAACTTCAACACTAGAGACCACCAGGTCCCCCCAAGCTCCAAACTCTAATCTCTAAGGGTTCCTTTAAGGGCTACTATAAGGGCTATACTACAGGGGTTTAGGGTTCTTAGAAGACTGTGTGGTTCTCAGTAGGAATGGGGGGAATGGGGTATGGGGACTGTTTTTGGGGCTTCTATGGGAACTACTCTTGGGATCCCTTCCCCCATTCCCTACTAAGAACCAGACAGCCTATTCGGGGTTTAGGGTTTAGGGCTTAGGGGTTTAGGGGTTTAGGGTCAAGGGCTTAGGGGTTTAAGGGTTAGGGGTTTAGGGTTCTCCAAAAGGGAAGCCTTTATCCCACGACCTGACTACAGAGAAGCAAGCATTCGCCGGGCTCAGGGCTGCATTGAGCGCAGCCCCGCGCAGGAGCTGGTCACCTCGATAGCTATGTTTTGGGAGGGTGTTTAGGGCTTCGGGTTAGGGTTGAGGGTTTAGGGTTTAGGGTTGGGGGTTTAGGGCTTGGGGTGTAGGGTTGAGGGTTTAGGGTTATGTTTAAGGCTTCGGGCTTTGGGGTGCCGTGTCGTCAACGCAAGAAATGACAAGCAATCAATAATAGTCGTCATCAGAAGGATCATCGTCATGAGCACCACCACCTTCGTCTTCACTGTGGTCAAGGCTTCCTGGCACATGGCCTTTACTTCCTGTCGTATGCGCATCATTGATCCTCTACTGCATAGCCTCCCAAATTCCGAGCCGTCGAATCAAGACGGGCGCCCTCGGGTTGATGGCTAAACGTATCGCAGGACTGCGGAACCTAAGAGTGAGGGGCCAAAGCGTTTTGGGTCTCGGATCTGCAGGGCTTTGTGTCGCAGACGTTTAACACTGTAACCTTCAACTCCGCACGATTTCGGATCCATGAAGCACGTTGCATCTTGTGAAGCCCTTGTAATGCGCAGGATAGGGGCGTCGTGTTCGGGCTGCTGACCTCAATCCTCCTACAAGGTTTCGCCGATTTCAAGATAGCTCTTGTGTCTGAGACACTGTCGACTTTCAACTGAGCACATCCACGGGAAGATCATGCTCTGCACTGCAATTACGCTGACTGTTACATTCTTTACACTAAACCCTATACCCTAAACGCTTAAGCATGCCTGCAGTGAATGCCAACTCGGCTTGGGAGTCTTTTCCCGCAGCAAAACACAATGATTTCTTGTGGCCGAGATACGATACCAAGGCAACTTCTGGATTCTCATCGGTATACTGATGGTGTGAAAAGCTGTCTGGTTAAGCGCAGAGTGAACCTGGCTCATGTCACACTAGCTGATTGAGGTATAGATATGATAAGGAACCCCAAAATACTATAGATATAATAAGGAACCCCTAAAATACTATGGATATAATAAGGAACCCCTAAAAACAGTATAGCTAATTATTAAGGCCCCTTGTAGTAAAACCCTAGAAGCTCCCTCAAAGCCCGAGGGCTCCCCCGGGGAGCCCCAAGGGCCCCCGGCCGGACACGAAGAGGTCCAAGCCCTTGGGAGCAAAGACCAAAGAAGACCTGACGTCTGCCGGGAGGGGTGGGGTGATGAGGGCTGGGGTTCAGGGGTTTAGGGTTTTTTTTTGGAGGGCCTTTTTGAGTCTGCATGACAGAGTCTGACAGCTTCCTCAGCCCATTTTGGGCGGGGTTTAGGGTTTAGGGTTAGGGTTCAGGGTTTGGGGTTTAGAGGGGATGAAAAGCTAAGAAAAACTGCACTGCAAGAACCTGGCAGCTCTGAATCCGAAAGCACTGAAGACACCCTCTGCTACATCTCAAGACTCGAAACCTGAACCTCAAAAGCCCTAAACCCTAAACCTGAACCCCAAAAACCCTTAAACCTGCTTCGGCTTACACCCCCTCCTCGGTGTTGGCCGCTTCTACATCAACCCTCGAAATCAGCCCCCTGCTGTGGAGCCGTGTGACTTGCACTGGGCACCCTAAACAGCCTGTTAAGGCACTGGAGATGTCGGAGCAAGACTCACGTGTACTGCTCTTCTTGGGCGAACAGCCACCCCCCCTTGCGGACAAGATTCCGGATCCGTCCTACCTGCGCACGGGAGCGGAGTTTCATCAAATCCGAGTACTTGGAGGATCATGGGACTTAGTAAGTATGGTTATAAGTCCCTTAATGGGGTCATAAGCAACTAGAAGTATAGTTACCCGAATAATAACCCTAGCTACTAAGTCCCATGATCCTTTAAGTATTCAGGGTCTGAATAAGACTTCGGGTTCCGGGGTGCTTGCGCCCGAGATGTTGGGGTTGGGGCCTCCCTCCCCTTAAAAGCCCCGGAGCGAGCCAGGGTTTAGGGTTTAGGGTTTAGGGTCCGAGACCCCGAACCTTCAATTCTGACGATGTTTCGGGATCAATACGGTAGTGTCACGTTTACGTATGGGAATATAGTACCCTAAATAGCAGGATCCTTATTATAAGGACTCCCCAAGATCAGGTACCCCCAATTTTCGGAAACTCCCATATTATTGTTGTGAGGGTTCTTTCGCGGCTGACGTTTACCGGCCGTAACTCTTGAATGCGGGTGATGTCGGTTCTCTTACCTTTGGCTAGTAGGGAATGGAGGAATGGGGTACAATTATAACCACTATTACTACCGTTCTTCCATTCCCTGCTAACCGAAGGTAAGTTCAGGGGACTGAAGGTATGAACTCTGCATGCACCGGGAAGACCAGACCAGGGAAAGTATGCCTTGGCCAGGGCTTGGGACACTCTAGGGGCCAAAAAGCTAGAATGTAGTAGAATAGGATTTTGGGGTTTAGGGTTTAGGGTTCAGGGTTTAGGGGGATAGACTAGAGGATAGCTATAACAAGGAACCCTACAGAAGAGACAGAGGTCTCTATATTAGCTGCTTCTCAACTGCTACTGCCAACAACCAAAACCGAGGTCAGCACACGCTCCCGCCCCGAGCCTCTACATCGTACTTCTTCGTCGATGTCAGTGGCATCGGATACCTCGTTGCTTTATCCAAGCTCTGAATCCGGAAGCAGCTTCTGGAGAGCACATAGTCTGAAAAACTCCGCTCATCATATGTACGTGGCACCTGTTGGAAGCAAACAGGACACCCGGCTTTGCATGCAAGAAGTCTACCGGTTAGGTTTTTAGCGTAAGTCTTCTAACAAAGCAGGTGCTCCCAAATGCTTGTGCTGATGCTTCTAAACCTGGCAACGCACAAAACAACACACAATGGATGTAGCTGACATACATGGCCTCCCTTTCGTTCGCTCTGCCTCTCCGTCTTTCTTTCATGTCTCTCTGTCTCTCTGTCTCTTTGTCTCTGTCTCTATGCCTCTGTCTCTCTCTGTCTCTCTGTCTCTCTGTCTCTCTGTCTCTCTGTCTCTCTGTCTCTCTGTCTCTCTGTCTCTCTGTCTCTCTGTCTCTCTGTCTCTCTGTCTCTCTGTCTCTCTGTCTCTCTGTCTCTCTGTCTCTCTGTGTCTCGCTGTCGCTCTGTCTCTGTCTGCGTGCTTGCACGTTGTGGGTTTTAATCTCCCTCTGTGCGTCTGTGCATGCGATTTTTGGCTCTTCGCATCGATGTCTGTTGTGTGGTTTGCACGCATATTCGTATCCGGAGGTGCGAGAACCTGGTGTGCACGTATGTATAGCACGGCATCACCACAGCATGGCCAACGGCAAATGCAACTATGTGCACTCGCGATCCTTCTGCCCCGAGCTTGGGAATCCAAGAGCAGATACATGCGGATACCTTCCTGACTAAAGTCAGGTGATGTGCTTTAAGGCTGCGGTACCCATGCCAGGACAGCGAGCTTCGCAACACTTGAACAAGATTTCTGCCCATGAGCTGACACCAACACACGAAATCAACATTGTACGGAGTGACAAAAACACAGTTGTTGGCTTCTGTGTGAAACAACACTGCACGTCGTTGAATGCTCTTGTAACAAGTGCTACATGTAGCTGAGTAATAACGCAAATATCATTCCTACTACCAGTATTCCCCGTGTAGGCCGGTAGACCTCATTACTGTTCATCTCCCCGACGACCCTAGAATGGTTCCTCCCACTTTCTCTTGCCGCTTTGTTCCTGCTCTTATCGCATCCTCACGTTCATCAACTTTCCAGCTTTACACTAGCTCTTGCGACTGTCGACTCCGTCCGTTCAACAAACTTTGGTTGTCTTACCTTACTCCACTTCTGTCTGTTTAGGGTGTAGTGCTTAGGACTCAAGGTTTAGGGTTCCCGCTGGCATTGAGAAAACCTGCTCCAAGAGCAAATCTGAAGCTGAGCTGCTGCTTCTCAGCTGGATTGTCCACCACCTGCATTTGAAGCGGTAAGGGTACTTCCGCGAGAGGCGTGTGTTGCGACTCATGTATGGTGATGTAACCCGAAAAGAATCAGCAACAAAAGCCGTCCCTTTGGATATAATTTTTCGTACATACATACGTATACATATAATCATGTCGAAAGAATGCAGAGAGAGAGAGAGAGAGTGAGAGAGAGAGAGAGTGTTTGTTAAGCTCTAATCTCTAAATCCTGAGCCCAAAAGCCCCTCCAGCACCTGACATCGACAAGCCAGAACCTTACCTTTAGTTAGTAGGGAGTGGAAGAATGGTAGTAATAGTAGTTACAGTTGTACCCCATTCCTCCTTTCCTTACTAACCAAAGGTAAGTATAGGATTATTAAGGCCCGTATGTTATAGTACCCTTATAGATCCCTTGTAGTAACCCTTATAGACCCCTTTATAAGGCCCCTTTCATTCCCTACTAACCAAAGGTAAGGAACCGGGCCTGCAAGCCCGGCGCGCCCTTCAAAACCTCCATGGCAGCCTCGGGGGTCACCTCCTGGGCCATAGAGCCAAGGATTTCGGAGTTAGGATTTTGGGTTTTGGGGTTTAGGGTCTGGGGTGAAGGGTTTAGGATTGTGGATTTGGGACTTAGGGTCTAGGGTGAAGGGTTTAGGATTGTGCATTTGGGGCTTAAAGTTTAGTGGTCAGGGGGTTCGAGGTTTAGGATTTAGATGATTTGGGATTTAAGGCTCGGGGTTGACGGTTTAGGGTAACGGCTTTGAAAGGTAAGATTTAGGACTTCGGGTTTGAAGCTGAGGGATTAGGGTCTTAGGGTCTACATGCAGTGGTGACGGAGTGGGTTTAGGGTGCGGGGGTTTGGGGTTTAGGGTTCGAGACTGGGGAGGCTTTGGTTCTTGGAGGCCGGGACCTCTAGCACCGAAGAGCTGCACGGATTCCTTCGGAGGCCTCGAAATCTTGCTGTGGTTCTGTACATCTCTTTTCCTTCTCCATGGTACTGTAATGTGGTTTAGGGTGTAGGGTTTCGGGTTTTGGTGTCCGAGTTTAGGGTGCAGTGGGGTTCTGATAGATTTTAGACGTTAAGGCTGGGCGACCCGTAAAACCCGCAACCCTGAACCTCCCCCCCCTCAAAAACAGTCGATCTTGTCGTGAAGCAACCCTAAACCTTAAACCCTAAACCCCTAAACCCTAAACCTTCTTAAACCCTAGACACCCTTAAACCTTAAACCCTAAACCCCTAAACCCTAAACCCCGTTAAACCCTAGACACTCTTAAACCCTAAACTCCAAACCGTGAATTTCTGTTTGTTTTGGGCTTCGGAGCTTCTGGGCCTTGAAGCGTCTCTCCGCTTTGCCCTTGGCATTTTGTAGTTTATGGGCCTAGGGCTTAGGGTTTAGGGTTCAGGGTTTAGGGCTAAGGGCTTTCTGGTTTAAGTTTTAGGGCTTAGGGTTTAGGGTTCAGGGTTTAGGGTTCAGGGTTCCAGGGTTTAAGGCTAAGGGCTCAGGGGTTTAGGGTTTAATGTGTGGGTCACGAAACACCTGACGCAGACCTTCTTCAGCCAAAAAAGAAAAGCAACCCTGAATTGGTCACAGCGCCTCCTCAGTTTCGATGGTGATGGCTTCAGAATGGGCACCTGCAGAAACGTGAGTGCACAAAAGCAGAAGTAATCCAAGCGGCTAAGCCATCCCCAAACGCAGCAATCACGCAAACGCCACTCCTTCAAACCGTGTAGTGTCTGCGGCAGAAAATCAAAGGCCGGCACGCTTTGTTGGGATGCGCACGGCCGTGCAGCTGCACGACAGATCCTGCAAGGCGCTACTTGGAGGGGCAGGGGACTTAGTAAGTAGGTTATAAGTAGAGTTATACGTACCCTAAATGGAGTTACCCCAATTGTAACCCTACCTATAACCTACTTACTAAGTCCCCTGCCCCTCCAAGTAGGGGTTCGGGTCGCGTGGATGGAGAGGTCCAGGCTTGCAAACAAGACTTGGTCTTAGCCTCGTCGATCATGGTACTTAGTAAGTATGTTTATAAGTGCCTTAACTGGGGTTGTGAGTACTTGTAAGTATGGTTACCCTAATAATAACCCTAGTTTCTAAGTCCCATGATCCTTTAAGTAGGTGGTGCCCCCCAGGCTCGGGCATGTGAAGCTGAATTGCGTCTTTTCCTGCACCCCGGGCCTCTGGCCCTGATCCCGTCACGCTTCTCACCAGCGAAACCGGCTCTTCTCCAAGTCGTGGCTGGCACCCCTAAAACCCGAATGCTGAGCCTGAAACCCTGAGGAGCTCATCGGATCACGGGTGGAGGAGGTGGCACATGTGTGGCCCACAAAGCACGGCTTGGAGGTCTTGCATCTCAAGCTTCTGGGCTTTGACAAAACTGCCACAGCAGCTTTTAGAGAAGAGCCATTCAGAGTCTGCGGGCTGAGTCCCCGCTCTTCCAGGAAGCTGCGTGATCTAGTGAAGTTGCTTGACGCTAGACGGAACGAGGTTTAGCCACCAAACAAAAGACTCGAGTGACTCGAGTGCAATACCATGAAGACGACGATGGCAGCAGCAGCAACAACAACAGCGACGATGACGACGACCTCAACGGTAACAAAACCAAACTCACTGTAAAATCTAACGAAAAACAACTCAAACACACTGCAAAGACAGCCATGGTGACGGCGTGACGACGACGATAATGGCGACGAAGACTCAGAGGAGGTCCTTCTCGCCGAAAATTTTCTGGGTCTCCCAGACAACTTTCATCTCTTCCTGGGCCCAAGCACGCATTCCAGCCCTTCAGAAAGCAGCTATCAGCTAGAAAGGAGGAGCACAATTTTGAAAACGATTTCAAGAGCTGTCTGTTAGCGTCAGGCCTTTCGAAGAGTCCGCAAGGCTTATGCAATGGGGGTCTGCACAGCAGACTGAAAAATTCTAGTACCTACGCGAGCAAGCCGAGCTGGTAGTATCATTACGATACCAGCGCAGCCGTAGTTTGTACTAGGATTAAAATACGGTTTTGGGGCCCATTGTACTATAAATATATTAAGGAACGTCCCAAAACAGTATAGGTAACTATTAGTCTTCTCGAGCCTGAAGGGGCTTAGCTTGTCGTGATGTAATCCTACCAGGTTGACGTCGATAACTGGGCCTCATCTCTGACCCACAAAGAAGGCTCCGGACCCGAGGACCCTAAACCCTAAACCCTAAACTTTAAACCCTAAACCCTAAACCCTAAACTTTAAACCCTAAACCCTAAACCCCAAACCCCTAAAACCCTGAACCCCAAGTGCAAGTTTCGTAGTGACGCCCAAGACCGAGAGACCCCAGACCTAGGGTGTTGAGATATGCTATACTATTTACTGGGTTGTAGTTTTGGGGGCTCTGAAAAGTATATATGAATAGGTACCTCTTTAGGAACCACAAGGGGAATTAAAAAGTTTCCCAAATTGCCACCTAGTTTATGTAATAAAAGAATAAAGAACGTTTGGGAACAATATTTGGTAATTGTTCAGGCTTCTATACTGGTAGCTCAACAGAAACGAAGGAGTAGAACCCGCCTTCGTGTAGCCGTTGCTCTGAAAGGCATCTATGTGCGGGATCACATTGAAGGGCAGCGGATGCGCAAAAACCTCCCAGGTCCAACCGTCACACCAGCTGACCCCAAAGAAGGACACGCACACACACACACACACAAAGAAACAGACTAGACTCAGCAAAATCTGCAGCGGCGCCTCGAACATTTAGAGCAGTATGCTGAAGCTGGCCCGCTAAACGACGAGTCCGTTCTCCTAAAAACCAATCCCGAACCTCCAAGTCTGCATCTTTGAAGCCTTTCTCCTCTCAGCTTCCATCAGCGGGCGTTGAGGCTCACACCACCCGCACTACCCGTTAAATGTGCCTCTGAGAAAGGCAACGAGAACTACCAACCTTCCTCAGACCTTGTAAGTTGTAGCATCTCCATGCTTGCATACCTGATGCATATGCAAATCACAAAGATTCACAAAGACCATTCAACAGATGACTTTCAGATCAGCAAAGATCAGTTCTTGCTTGGGCGTGTGCGGGCAGGTGCCACACAGATGCGCGCCTGTGCGCAGTTAAGAAAGATCGACAGACAGACAGACAGACAGACAGGCAGGCAGGCAGGCAGGCAGGCAGGCAGGCAGACATCCATGCAGACATCCATGCAGACATGCATATGTCTGTATGCATATGCGTATGCAGATGTGCATTAGTCTATGCCTGTATCTGCATGTATGTGTGTAATTGTGTGTACACAGCACAGGTGCATGCATCATACACAAGTTTCTGTTTTGATGCCTGCCCTATCCTGCCCTGAGGTGTTGCGAAAAGTAGGGGCTATGTAGGGGTATCGTATGACCAATTATCCCAACCACATGGGTAGTTCTCTAAATTAGGGGCCCTTTCCGGTCCCCAAAATAGTACGGCACCCTTTTGCAAGGGCCCCTAATCTAGACAACTACCCATATATTCAATGCCTCAAGAAAACCACGGCACCTCGTTGACGTGCGGCTGGTTCTCAAGCGCCTGTCGGGTGCCCTCCTGAAAGTCAGTACTAGAGTCCGTGATGGTGCTTTCTGAAACTAGGGCTCCTAAAATGGGGGATCTATACAGTAGTAGCCACTGATTTAAGGCTTAGGGCCCATGCCAGAGCCCCATGGTCTTGTGCAAAAGGCCGAGGTTGACGATGAGAGGTATTCGCTGTTGAGAATGAAGGAACAAGAGCCCCTGAAACCTGGATCTTGGGCATCCGCTTCATCTTTGGATTTCCTGCTTAGCCGCCCATTGATGAACCTGTACTGATGAAGCGACGGGCCCAGGGCTAAGGGCTTAGATTTACATTGGACTACTTGGAAGGGCAGGGGACTTAGTAAGTAGGGTTATAAGTAGGGTTATAATTGGGGAAGTCCATTTAGGGGTACTTATAACTCTACTTATAACCATACTTACTAAATCCCCTGCCCCTCCAAGTAACGGAGTTCTGAAGTCGGCAGGGCCAGCAAACCGCGCTGGGCTTCACTAGACGCCACGCGCCGCTCGACAGCCGGAAATATGAATCTCTGCGCTTCGACTTCCCTATACTGAACTTAGAACCCTAGCAAGAATTACAATTTTTGCTGTTTCTTAGGGATTATAATAACCAAAGATTAAAAGCTAATTCTAAGTACCCCTAAGTTCCAGAAAGCCATGAAGCCCTGAAGCCTTCAAGTCTGACGTCCCCTGCCGGCTTCCTCCCAAGCAAAAGCCGAAGTGAAGTCTAGTCGTATGATGTACCTAGCAGAGGCTCTCCTGTAACCCGCACAGAACCATAGTTTGAGGCCGCTTCAGGTGCATGTGTTTTCAGGCTCTTGGGCTTTAGTTCTTCGCGAATGCTTCAGGCGATGCTCGCAAACTCCAGCGCCCCCTATCTTGGAAGTCCTCCAGCTCCGTCATGCCCGCTGCACCTGCGCCGCTTGCTGCCTCTGCACACATGCACCTACACTCGCACACCACTACTGACAGGGACATACAGACACAAGACCGCAGACAGCCAATTTGGAGTGAGAACGTCTGCTCAGGACACATCAGAACCCATAAAGGATCCCTCGAGGGATACCCTAAACCGAGAACAGAAGAACTCCAAGACGTAGCCGAAAAGCTGGACCGACTCCCTCCTTCTGCACCCAATCACCCCGAATTCTGAGTATACTGAGGCAAATTATAGTACACTATGATCACCTTGCAGTGCGCTATAGTACATAACAGTATATGACATGATACTATATCATCAAACCCCACAACCTCAACCCCAACAGGACTGCAGAGCCTGATACGTGGAAACAATGACTTTCCGCAGGCGAAATCGCTTGTGAAGCCTCAGGCGAAGCTGAGATGTTTTATGAGAGCAAACGGATTTGGGGGCTCAAGGTGTTGAGTGAGCACAACGTGTACATGCATGTTCACACGTGCCCGCGCATGTGTATGCACATGTAGTCTATTCTTGCCGGCTGGCTGCTGACATACTGATTTAGTTATCCAGTCGTTCGCTCGGATGTCATGCGTGTGTCGGATCTTATCGTTGCGAGCACTTCGTTGGTCCATTCCGGCGTTGTCGTTTTTGAGCTTTCGTTTTACTTCATGTTGACATGATCAGCTGCATACCTGCACATACACTCATGCAGCTGTAGCATGCCGTAGCCATCAGCTGATTTTCCAGACATGCCTAGGCCTAGGCAAAGGCACCGCCGACTGAGCTAAGCTGAGGATGTACAAAGTTGCGCTGTCTCGCGCGCACTTTGCATGCAAACTGAAATCTCGCGAAATCCTGCAGGTCCGAGAATTTCCAGGTTTATTTCGGTTGTTATTACTATTATCGTTACCATTACTGCTGCAATTACCATGATCACGACTATCATTATCATCATTGTTATCGTTACTATCAATAGTACCATTTTTATCATTTGTATCGTTAACATCATTATCGTTGTTGCTATTAGTACTAGTATTACTGTTATTGTTGTTCTTATTCAATGTTTCTGAGACAATTCCGGTGCACTTGCATCTCTTACAAACTGCGTCAACAATGCCCCAATGCCAATCTAGTCTTGACCGTAAGCCTCTTGCAACTGCGGCTAAGTTTCCAGTCCCGGCACTACACATTCAATCTCAAGTTCCACATGCCCGGGACGATGACTACATAAAATAATCTGTCGACTATGTACCATGCGGTTTATATTACCTAGTGAATACGATCATTCACTATAATAGACTCTGGACTATAGAGTCCTGCACCTGCACCTGTCAAACCTCATCCCGTAAGTTGCTCGTCCCGGTCACCGCCGTCGTGTGCTATCGCCGTCCGCAACAGCCAGCGTGCATGCTACGGTGTTCATACAAACAAGAAGCATAAAATGACCCAGAATGAGCATGACAAGCCTCACAACCACGCGAAATGCAGAAGCAGGATGAAAAGAACAGCCATTGCAGCAGTCAACATAAACGTAATATGAAGCTTGGGGTGGGTTGAATCCTCGTCAGCTGTCTCGAACAGAAAGCCTCAGCCTCACCCTCAACCTCGCGACCCTCCGATATGGCCGCTCACAGATCCAGCTTTCAGGTCCTCACAAAACCCAAAAACCCCAAACTCGCCCAGACTCCTCACCTCCACACAAGAAGCCCTACGTCTCGAAACCCATCTCCTTCCTGACGAGGTACGGCCAAAGCGCCATGGCTGCGATCGCCTGTGGAGAGTGAAAGTTCAGGAGCCTTTGTGTCTGAGGCTTTGTAAAAATTTCACAAGGGTTGTTTAGGGGTTTAAGGGTTTAGGGTTTAGGGGTTTAGGGTTTAGGGATTAAGAACCCTGCACCATTATACGCCCCAACCTGTAGGATACATAGTGGGCTCCCTCAGAAGAGCCGGGGTGACACTGAACCAGGCTCCTACACTGCACAGAAAGGAAAGAGGCCGCAAAGCAAGAAGACTCCGCATGCTAACAGTGTAATGAAGAATCAAAATAGCAAACCCAAGAAGCCTGAGGCCCTACACGCTGAACACACCCTGACGAAACTGTATGGAATCTGTTCAATGCTTCCGGCAAGTTCACTCTGCCGATGTCCGTCTTCATGTGGGGCAGTGCTGAAGATGAAGCACGCAGGGCAAAAGAATGCGAAAGAAGAACACGGTTTAGGGTTTAGGGTTACGTATGGGCATGCACGATGGCGATTCGAGGGACAATGACAAAAAACATGCGCACAGCCCGACAGGAATCTGTTGCATGGCAGACTGCTTGAGGTCAGTTGTCCAAGCTTTTGGCACGAAGCCACACCAACGTGACGGCTTCTGACCCTAAACCCTAAACCCTAAACCCTAAACCCCTAAACCCTAAACCCTAAACCCTAAGTCTAGCCCCTCCAGGCTGCATTGCTTCTTGCAGCAAGAGAGCGGTGGTGCAATTCGGGTTGGCGATCAGCAACTTGCCCTTCATGGCGTCCCTGCTGTGCTTCGAATACAGGGGCCTTCATACGGTTGATGATACAAGTCTTGCATTACCCATAATAAGAAATATACCATAACTTTCATAGTTTAGGGTCCTTAAGGTAATGCAGGATTTATATCATCAACAGTATTTGAAATAAGGTTTAAGGGCCCATCAAACTATACTTGTAATAAGGAACCCCATGATAGTGTTGGTAATTCTTCAGGCCCCTATTTTAGCCTTGGGCAAGAAGCTCCTGGGTGGCAGCTGTTGGACAGAAGGTGCTGGATTCGGGGCTCCACAGAGAACAGAAGCACAATCAGAGAGGCACTCCGCAACTCGCCAGGAGCATCGGCTCCTCCCGGAGCCGACAAACCCCCCCACCGCCCCAAAGGCACAGAGCCAAACAGAGCACCGACAAGCCAAGACATTCGCTTCCCAAACCCCATACCCCGAACCCTTAACCCGGAATCCAACCCCTGAACCTTGAAGCCTTGACCCTGAAGCACAAATTCACTGAACTCAGGGATTCCCGCGCCCGAACCAGCCAAAGACTGAGAAGCTTCAGGCACTCGCAAGGCAGCTCATAGGCAGGAACTCGACAAGTCTTCTATAGCTGGGGTTCCGCTAAAGGATTCGTAGGGGTCTATAGGGTACTACAGGAGCCTCAGTAGTTAGAACAGGGTTTCAGGGTATGTTATAGTACAACTTATAAGAAGGAACCCACTGGAAGTCTTCTTGGTAAGGCATTTCGGCCCCCTCGCATTCCAAGCCAAGACTACAAGTCCTGAAACTCGCTTCTGAGCCGCTGGCGAGTTGATCTCAGGAACCACGAGCCTCAGTACAGATTCAAAAGTGATTTGGGCCGGCTAGTCTGGAGGTGTATAATTCAGACATAGGACTTGACCCTAAACCTAGCAGCCTCCATACTGAGCTTCGGATTTACTGTAGAGTTCTGGGTTTAGAAGGCAAGGTTGATGGGTCAAAGGTTAGCGGGGTCTCTCTGTGTATCCGTTGTGCACCGGAAATGAACGAACGCACTATAACGGGATCGTGAAAATCATGCAATAACTGCGGGCATGCTTAGGGCTAGTGCCTCGGCAAGTGAATCCCAAAGCTTTCCTCACAACTTTGCGCCCAGGATTGAGACAAGTCGCGGGATGTCATCTTTATACCTAAAGGCTGAAGAATTGTCGATGACGATGGTCTTGCCATTGGCCACGATCTGTGGGGAGTACCTGCACAGCTCCACGAGATCAACCATAAGCCCACGACCCTCAAAGACGTCTTCAGCCAAAGACACGCTACACCTGAAACCCCAGAGCCCATCATTCTTCAGGGTTCCTTATCGAACCATTATGGCCCCTATATGACCGGTTGCCGATCTAGGTTGGGTCGCTTTGGCCCCCGAGGCTAGGTTCGTTTGGCAAAGGGTAGACTCGAAATCGGGACAAAGCCGGTAAGCATTCAGGTTTCTACATTACTCCTAAAGCGCCGGCTGATCAACTAAGTCACTAAGTTGTTTGCCGTATCGACGCTGAGAACTTGTACCTACATCCTGAATCAATGAAGCCCCAACACCGCCTGCGGAATGTCTATGTAAATCACGCCGCTGTCCAAGTCGACCAATTTCTGATGCTTGGAAGCGAAAGGTTCAGAATTTAATTGGAATTGTACGTCTTAGGCTATGAGTATACTGCGAATTATGTTATAGTTGCACCTGTGCTTACAAGTGAGTCAGCTTCATGAAAACAATATGAGTCCGCTGACACGTCTTCTCCGATGCCGGGTTGCCTCTTTCTCACTCCCTCTCCCTCTCCCTCTCTCTACAACAACAGTTACAAGCCTCTCACGAAGCCACACAAACGAACACCCGCAAAAGAACTTCGGAGCCACGAAGAGCCCCGTGCTTGCATTGCCGAGGCACTCGGTACTGAAGCCCCCTTGCGTGCGGCAACCGATTGTTGGAGGCAAGCAAGCGGGGTAGGGAGGGAAGGGAGCACATGCGTAATCATGATGTGTAAGCTATGCAGGTTGAAGGTAGTGCCCATTGAGTCGTGTATGTGTTGGAAGGCAGCATGCTACACAACATTATGGGGTGTGGGCGAGTCAGGCAGGGCGTGCATGCGAGAATCTCGAGGGAGCTTAAGACCTTAAGACCCTCATCGAAGGATCGATTTCAAGGACTTGACAGTCCCACGACGTCTTTGTAAGGTTCAAGATGCACTCCGGTCTTTAGACCCTAGACCTTCAACAAGTCCAAGTTGGAAAGTCTGAAAGGGCCTGGACCAGCTCTTCAGCTTGGAATAGCCCTGGCCCTTGCACCCTAGAATGAATCCCCAAAACGACGGCCCACCCAAAGCTAAGACCTTCCACCCCAAAACCCATGCCCCGAGCCCAGAACACCTTAACACCATAAACTCTAACCACACAAACCTCTGAACCCCAAAGATTCCCTGAACCCCAAAGATTCCCCCCCCCCCCCCCCCCGCTTTACCCACCGAAGCCCTCTAATCTCCGCAAACCCTTTAAAACAAACCCCCTATCCGCCCTAACCCGTAAAACCCCCTAACCCCCTAAACCCTAAACCCTCTCACCCTGCAAAGCAACCCTAACCGCTGAACCCCAAAACCCTATCCCTCTAACCCTTAATTAACCCCCCCTAAACCCCTAAAGCCCTAAACCCTAAAACCCAAAACAAAGGCGCCTGAGACGGCCATAAGCACGATGTCGCAGCTTTGGGCGCGCTCCACGCTGAAAGCTTCGACCTGCTTCGATACCGAATTAAAGGGTTATGGGGCTTAGTAACTTCAGGCTCCGTAAAAGGGGTCCATGAGGTTTCTACGTTTTAGGGTTACTTAAAGGATCATGGGGCGGTTCGTAACTAGGAATATTATTCCTGTAAGGTAACTATACTTATAATTACTTATAAGCCCAATTAAGGTACTTATAACCATACTTACTAAGTCCCATGATCCTCCAAGTCCAAGCAAGGTTCCTTTAAGGATTCCTTTCAAGGATCTACAGGGTTTAGGGTTTCTTGGATCTTAAATTATATTAGGGGTCCTCTTGTAGTTTAAGGTGTATTCCTTAATTAACGAATCCCACAAACCCTTAACCCTATAGATCCCTCATGGACTGCACCTTAATTAATATTTCGGATCCTATTGTAGTCTAAGGTATGTTCCTTAAGTAAAGGATTTTGGAAGGTCTGGGCTAAGCTCCCAAAAAGGGAGGTGGGAGCTTCGAGTGCAGGGCTTATGTTTTGGGGTTTAGGATCCTAAGGTTTAGGGTTTAGGGTTAAAGTTCAAGGTTTAGGCTTCATGTTATTTTTGTTATGGGCCCTTTTCGAACTGCAGAACAATTAGAATGCCTGTACTAGGAGGAGCCGATGGTTGGGGCCTGGTTCGACATAATACAACCCTGAAAATACCCGGTGTTTAGGGTTCTAGGGTTAAGGGTGAAAGGTTTGCGGCTTTAGGTGTTGGGGTTTCCACTTTAGGGGTTTGGATTTTGGGGCGTTCAGAAAGTGCCTGTAAGAGGGAGAACAAAGGGGAGGGATCACACTGATAGCATTTAGTGCAGGTGATAATCGCATTTTTTAGGGCACTGGGCTTCGGGTTTTGAGGGTTCCAGGGGTTGTATGTCCTAATGAGACTGCAGAAGATACTGCGGATGGTAGGACCGCAGATCCGAAGGCTAGAACAGGCCAGCGCCAGAGCTCTTCGAACACTAAAACCTTGAACCCAGAACCATACTCCAGGATCTCTTGGATAGGCTTGAAAATGTGGATGTATATGTGTGCATATATATATATATATATGTGTATATTTGTATGTTTACATACATATACAGGTAGATGCTTACGCACTCACGTGGGCCCCTCAAACCGAAAAAGAATCACAAGCGCGCATGCAAAAGAAAAACGACAGGGTCCCGAAACGGGCGCCTGCATATGTGGACATCTTCTTGTTGGTATACATACATACATACATATACATATATATATATATATAAATATCAATATATATATATATATTAATATATATATATATATATATATTAATATATATATATATATATATATATATATATTAATATATATATATATATATATATATATATTATAAGATATGATATGAGAGCAGGGCGCCTGCTTCTCTCCGTAGGCAGTGGTCAGTGCCTTTCCAGCCGATCGCTCTGAGGCCAGAAGGACGAGCCTGAGACTTGGAGTTTCCGAATATTAGGGGGTACCTTTAAAGGGATCCTTTAGGAGTTCCTTAAAAGGATCTATAAGGGTTCTATGAAGGGTTTAGGGTTTCGAATATTAGGGGTACCTTGTTTTGGGATCCTTATAAGAAGGATTCAACTATTTAGGTACAATATTAGGGTCCCATAAATTCGGAAACTCTAGACAAGAGCGAGCACAAAAACATGCTGTAAAACAACACAACGGTCTTGGTGGAAGTCAAAGTCAACAATACCTGAGGTTAGCCTTAGATTCTTGCAGCATGTTCAGCGTTTGTGTGTTGAGGTGAGGCGGAGAGGCTCAGAACTTCGGAAAATTATCCTGGAAACCCTCATTCCGCCGCACTCCCACCAAGATTATATGCATACCTAATACCTAACCCTCAACCCCCAACCCCAAACACCCTAATTGGGACAATAGGGCTTTGAAGTTTTTGGTTTCTTTTACTGACTCAGGGCGAGTCAGGGACGCGGAGTGCAGCGTGGCAGCGTCTAGGCCTAGGCCTCCGCAGGAGTTTCCTATCGTTGCAGATGGGTTCTTCATATAGGGGCCTGAATAATTACCTGTACTGTTTTGGAGGGCCCGAATTTCCTCATCAGCGAGGCATGTCGTAGAGCCCCAGTTCCCATGCATTTGCTCCAATGGAGAAGGGAACGACCGAGATCTCGTACGTGGTGTGGAAGCTCGGCGAGGGTCATGCCGCGATGCTTGGGGATCGCCTACTCGAGGACATCCAACTTCCCCGCAGCTTGCAGGGCTTGACTTTTGGCTGTACCGTCAACCAGAGCTTCGAAGACATCCAACTACCCAGCAGGTTGCAAAGTTTGACGTCTGGCCTCGCGTTCAACCAGAGTCTGGAAGGCATCCAACTCCACAGCAGCCTGCACAGGACGTTTGGCGAATCGTGCAACCAGAGCCTGGAGGGTATACAACTACCAAGCAGCTTGCAGAGTTTGTCGTTTGGCTATGCAGGCAACCACAGCTTGGAGTGTATCCGGCTCCCCAGCAGCCCGCCGAGCTTGACGTTTGGCGAGTCGGTCAGCAACAGTTCGGAGGGCATCCAACTCCCCAGCAGTCTGCAGAGCTTGATGTTTGGCCGTGCTTTCAACCGCTGTTTGGAGGACAGCCAGCTACCGAGCCGCCTGCGGAGTCTGTCGCTTGGTTATACATTCAACCGGAGCCTAAAGGGCTGCCGGCTGCCCAGCAGCTTGCGGAGTTCTACGTTTGATGATGCCTTCAGCCGGTGTCTAGATGGCAACCAACTACCCAGCATCCTTCTGAGTTTGACGCTTGGTTATGCATTCTGCCGTAGCCTAGTGGGCAGCCAACGACCCAACAGCCTGCGGAGGCTGACGTTTCGTGACGTGATCAACCGGAGCCCGTTGGGTCGTCAACCGCCCAACAGCTTTCAGAGTTTGACCCTTGTCTATGCGGTCAGCCAGAGCTGGGAGTGCATCCAACCACCCAGCAGCCCGCGGAGTTTGACGCTTGGTTTTGCGTTCAACCGGAGCCTAAAGGGCCGCCAACGACTCGGCAGCTTGCGTCTGACGCTTGGTGATGCGTTCAACCGGAGCCTGGAGGAATTCAGCCACCCAACAGCTTGCAGACTTTGACCTTTGGCCATGCGTTCACCGGAGTGCTGCGGAGCGACGCTCATACAGACGAGATGTGTGACGTGAAATCTTGCTCGGCACCAAAGGCCTATGCCATCATTGCCAATGCCCTGCTGAAGAGTGAGGGGTCTTCAGCTGATTCGAACTCAAGTGAGGACGTGTTGAGTGCAGAATGACAATTGCTGCAGCTCTTTTTCCTTAGACCTTGTGTAGGGAGGTTGCGGAATAACAATCGCCGCAGCTCTTTAGGTTGTGCTGTTCATGTAGTCCCACGGTTCTTTGCAGTCCCCCTTTCAATTTTGTGTACTTTGTTCGGACAGCTGTTCCGTGTTCGCTAGGCCCTGACGTGTGCACACGCTGTCACTGCACAAATCAGCGGCTTGGTATGAGGGCTCTGGGGGA